GTGCTAGGATTTATGGAACGTAAGTAAATTCAAGCCGGTCACGGTAGCCGAGCAGTCTAAGGCATGTACTATCTTCGCTCGCTCGGAAGCCGAGATCGTGGGTTCGAATCCCACTCGGGGCATGGATGTTAATTTGTGTGTGTGCGTTTTTCTGTGTTTGTGTACAGGTAGAGGCCTTGCGACAAGCTGATCACCCGCCCAAGGAGTCCTACCGAATGTGTAAGATCTAGAAAAACCGAAGTGAACGGAGAAGTTCATGGAGGTAGGCCTAGGCCCACTGGGGCTGTAGTGCCAAGGGGGGGGGTTAAGAAGTAAATTCAAACTCAAATTAAAATTCAAATATATTGGCCCTATATTTCTTATCTGTTCACGAAATATATGTATCCTTTAATTTATACTCCAATTGGAAATACACTTTACAGACGTGCTAGTCACTATTTTGTGTACGTCATCTGACCTTGGTATTTATTTACTGCAGATACAAATTCTTTGTTGCAGAGCCAATATCACGACAAATATCATAATGCAAAGAGTAAGAAATAATATTTCATCCTCAGTTTTTAAACATGTATGTCAACATAAGACTTTAAAATACACTCTTCTGCCCATTAATTATTCAGCCCTCCCATTGTATCTGTCTGTGGTACATAATCTTACGATTGCCTACAATGCTGTTAAATTAACACAATAACCAGCCAATAAGGACAAATTATTTAACAGCAATTTTATATCGACTTATTAAATGCAGAGTATTTCTTAAATGAGACAAGGTAAATAATAAAAATATTATGTTTTTGGATATTAGCCATCGTCCTTTGTTTGTCTAAAAACACAGCCCTCCATATTTAGAAACACGACGTTTCGGAGACTGGATTCTGGATTCTAGTTCTATGGATTGGTCCAACTGAGTAGGCTTTTCTTGAAGACGGTGACAGAATCCAGTCTCCGAAACGTCGGGTTTTTAAATATGGAGGGCTGTGTTCTTAGATGAAGACAGGACAATGGTTAAAGTCCAGAAACATGACATTTGTACTAATGTTCCATCGTCACAAACTTAAGGATCTTATCAAGATCGACAAGTTTACAAATATGCTGATCATGGAGTGAATGACGATGGTTCTGTTTTCGGCAGAGCCATGGAATTTTCTTTTCGGGACCGAGCTCCAATTAAGGAAAAGAGTCGAATTGTGAGGCTGGCCTGTCTCCTGCAACCAGAGGTTGAAAACCCCACACACTTTCTTCCCGAGGAAAGTATATTTTGCAACATGGCGAGTAAAAATTTAGAGTAGTTGCTCCCTTCTGCTGTCGAATGGTTTTTTGTTTTTATTTTTTTTTTGTTTTGACATTATTTCGGCAAATTTTCTTGGGTTTCCTTTCCCTAATTTAAAATCTGTGCCTAATTTTCCAAAGGTAAGACCTGGTATTGAGCCAATTAAAGTACATGTTGAAACTGCCCCTTATTTCTTAGAGAATCTGAAAGGCGCTGCAGGGCCAGTACAGAAAGAAACACTTTTGAGAGTATTTCAATGACAGGAAGACTGCAAGAAATCCAGTAACTGGAATAAGACCAACGAAAGAAAATTCAAAGTAGACAGTCGTTAAATCAGGCAAAAATTCTTTTAATATACGGTTTTCTCACACCATCACTTGTGGCGTAACTACTGTCTGTTTTGTGTTGTGGTGAGTCCGCAATGAAGAACTACATTTCCCACTTTCACTCCCTCATTTACATGCGGTATGAAGTCAAGGCAATGTGCCAGAGAACTGAACCTACTAAAATTATTAAGCGGCCTCCGTAGTCTAGGGGTAACGTTTCCACCTCATGACTCAAGGTACTCGGGTTCAAACTCGGCGGAGGTCGTGGAATTTTTAAGGGCGGAAAAATTCAGGGAACAAGTCCTCCGGGAGGGATTTTAAGCCGTGGGTACCGTGTCGTAGATTTACAGCACGTAAAAGATCCTCATGTCTCTAGGAGACCTCTGAGTAAAATTAGGCAACAATTTCCCGCCCAAGTAGTTTCCAATGCCTCTGGTAGATGGGGGAAATATCAGGTACCGACGGCCGACCTCGTTGGCTGAACGGGGCTGATAGCGCGCACCAGTACCGGTAGGGTATGGCGATAGTAGAAATTAAAGGGGGACGCACAATGGACCNGATGATGATGATATAATAATAATAATAATAATAATAATAATAATAATAAAATTATTATGTTATAAGAAAAGACATTCACACTCCTCAGCAAGATAATATCAACAATTTCTGCACTTCCCACTTCTACAGTAACATGAGAAAAAGATGTAGCTAGACGAAGATAGCATAACAATAGATTAAACAATTTAGTAATGATAAAACTAAATGGCCCACCATTTGAAGTGGTTTTACACAATGTTCACTTGATCGTTAGTACTTGCAAACGGAACATTGTGCCAATAACGGCAAGAGGCGTCATTTGTAAAGAGACTGGTGTGGGCAAGACGGAACAGTGTGAAAGTGGTGATTGCAGATTAGCGTGAGCTTCTATACATTTCATTTAAGCAGAAGAAATAATGGGGGGGGGTGAATGAATTTGTTGGCAAGTGGGTCTTGGAACAATATTTCAATCCTTACCTGTAACAATTTTTACGTCCATCTCCCCTATTCGCTTTCAGAGCGTGGTTTTTAGGCGCAATGAAATTGGAAATTGGAAGACTGTGAGATGAATGCTTTGGACAGAATTTCTACGTATGTTCCTGCAACAGTTTGTTGCCATAAATTCATGAAAAATGCTACGGCCAGACAATGAAATTTTGTGAACACAGAAATTTGCGCTACATTGTTGCTCGTTGTTTTCCACCGAAAAACCAGACACACCACCGAGAGACGAGAAACGTCTTTGTTCGTTTTTAGACATTATCTTATCTTTCCCATACAACAACAAATTTCTCGTTAGCACTGAAATTTATAACAGTCTTAACTGGGTTGTATCTTGCACTTTGCTGTTGTAATAGAAGCTGTTCAACGTTCGGGGATATCACTGTTGCATCTAGTCGTAACACACGATGCAATTTCGACATTGTCTGTTATCTGAGGTATATTGTACTCTGCATTTAGGAAGTTTTCTCTACGTCCTTAATCATTTGTCATTATACTGGCGGATCTGTTATGACTTTTTTATATTGATATTACTGACAACGATTGGGATCGAACCCAGAACTTTGGAATATGAGGCTAGTGTGCTAACCGATAGACCAGAGATTGTTATTGTTATAACATATTAATGTTATATATATATTGGTGGATATACTAATGTTAACAGTAAGTCAACGAAATGTGATTTATTTTTACTCAACTTTACTGGTTGAATTGCCTTGTTGTAGGGTTCTTCCTCAAGACTACAGATGGTGATCTCTACCCTCTATTAGCTTGCCCCTTTCCCACATAAATCTACAAATACAAGAAACCATTAGACTTGAGGCTAGGGGATGGAAGGTTCTGCCCTTATTTCCCTAATTATTCCGTGTAACTCCCTGTTAATTTTAATAAACTAATGTTTAAAGGACGTGCATTCTAAGTAAAAGTGTGAAAGACATAGGCTACTCTTTGGCCATTAATAGGTAAACGGTTTTGAAAGCTCTAATTTGTACTATTCAGCTTCACTTATTTTGTCAAATATCATCAGTTTTAACCTTTAAACGCCGTGCTTTTGAAATGGTAGTAAGCTTGAGCTGGCCGGAGTTTACTTAAATGCCCGCTGCTGGTGCGCGTTTAAATGCCCGTTCCTGTTAGGGTGCTTAAACAATTTTAAGCATTGTGTTTAAAAATGCTGTATATAACATAATTTTTATGATAAATGGATGGAATTAACTTTGTTTGTATCAGCAAAGGACATAGTGCCGCATATTATAACGGAAGATTTGAAAATTTTTATACAAAGAATTATACAATTTTTTCAATTTTTTTTCTTTTAATTTTGATACGTACTGCAAAAATATTTTCCCAGTTCTTCACAGAGTTGTTCTGCATTATAAATTCATTTCTGTTGGTAACAGTTGACAAATTTTAGCAGACCCTGGTGTCATAAAACAGATGGAAGCAATAAAATAATTTGGTTCTCTGCTGAGAAACCTAACATCTTGTTACACCCTTCAGATTTTCGAATCTTTTGACTAAAGGACAGAAGAATGAAAGCATGGCTATTCAAGAAAAAGAGCTACGTGGACCCCTTCTTCAGTGCTAAGACCTTCCTTTGCAGCTGCAAGAGATTATTGCTCTTTCTGCATTGTGGCTGAGATACAGAGTGCGATCTGTTTTCTGTGCGTTCATAGTGACATCAAATACTGTAGTTTTATTTCAACCTATATATACATCAAGCAGATAACAACAAAGAAGGTATGTACATCGAATTTTACTATATATCTTTAAGGCATTAATCTGCAGAATCTGCAATAAAATACTGGCTCGTGGATGAGTATGGGCATAACTCATACGTATATTCTTTTTTGTTGTTGTTCGCTTAGGTATCATTTTAATTAATCTATTAGGGTTTTACTTAAGTCTGTCTGGTAATTACTACATATAAAAATAAATATTTAGGACTGTGCATGTGCTTCTACTAGCGGCGTGTGCGTGCACTTCCACTAGCGGAGTTTAAATGTCCGACTGGCCAAAACGAGGCACTTTGGCCACGGCGACCTTACTCATCACTGGCACAAACGGGGCACTTCGGACGTTAAAGGTTAATCATAATTCAGAACCATATTTGGGATATGATTATCCTCCATTGTTTTTGCGAGTTTTCACTACTCATTTCTCTAGACTTGAATTCTGTGAATAACACTGCAGTATTAATCTGTGATTCCTATTTAATCCGCACCCCTCCTTTGATCCTGGAATGTACTACATATTCTCAAGTCAGAAAAGTATACTTCAGCTCTGGCTATATTTTGTTTTTGTTGTCAAAACTTTGTTCAATATGAAAAAATTTATTAAAGGAAAAGCATTATGTATTTTTCATTCAGTTCGCCAGTTACTATGGCACTTCGAAGACATCACTGCAGAAGGTGCCCAGAACTGCACCCCCCCATCTGTATCAGATTTCCCACCAGATCTATTCACCCCAGAGCAGCGTCGGGCAGGGGCAGTGGTCATTCATGCATTCGTCTGTTGCTACCTTTTTGCAATGCTGGCACTGATTTGCGATGACTACTTCGTTCCCTGTATCCAGGAAATGTGTGAACGTAAGTGAACCACATTCTTTCAAAATAAAACTGTTTGATCACAATGTTTCAGTTGCAGCTAATCAAGGGAGAGACAGAATTGTAAAACTGTGATGTGAGGCTCTCTGCATTCCAAACTTTTCATGAATTCTAATATTAAGAATATTGTTTAATGGACCCTGGTATTGTTATTCAATAGGCACTGTTGTTAATGTTAGCATACCGATTACTAAGGTAGATTTGTTTATTTTGAATTGTTTCATTTTTGGTCCGTTACACTATCAATCACAAAGTCAATAGAAAGTCCGTCTAGTGTAACAATTTGTAGGTCACTTCTTTATCACTTCTGCCTTACATGTTTCGGTTTAATACAACCATCATCAGAGGCACATAGTACAATCATGAAAACACTGTCGTTGTTTAAGATGTACACAGTTATGTTTGCTGCGTGGACGCTGCTACAATATGTCGACGTGTAAAAGCACAACACTTGCTAGGATTGTTGAATGCACTATCAATTCTCACATTCCATCCTAAACTGCCCTCAAGTTGAAACGCCAATGTTAAAATATTTAAAAATTTAAAACTTTTGATGTAAAATGTTAAGCTCCTCCTTGTTAATTCATCCCGAAGATGGGAGATGTCAGCTTGAGGTTGTATGGCTGCAAAGATATTGTATTACATTAGGTTTTATATATTATTATATATTTATTTATTTATTTATTTATTTTTTTAGTGTTGTATTTGATCCTTGCTTACCTTATGGTTAGATGTTTCCAATGTGCTGTGTGTTGTGTACTGCAGTTGACTTTGTAGATTTGTTTAGTCAGGTTACCTCTTTCATATGATAGATTGTGTCGTTATAAGTTCAACACCACATATCTCAATAATATGACTTGTCAACTTAGTGCATTTGCATGAGGAAAAACAATGTACCAATAGTCAGAGATGCTACTATGCAACTATCACTTTTCATTTTTCTCACTGTCAGTACAGATTTCTATGAAATGGAATGTAATCTATAGGGTACCTTTTAAGAAATTTGAAATGTGATATAATTTGTATATATGCTAATATAAGAATATGAAAGCCAAAAGAATATGTTTATACAATTGAAGAATTTGTTTTCACATACTTTCTCAAGGTAATTCTGAAGATGTCATCCCTTCCAAAATTTGTGGAATATCTTACCGCTTTCAGTTCTAGTTATATTGATTTTTTTTTTTTTGGAAATTCTATCATTCAGAAATCACCATCAGAAAAAGTCACAGATATCTTAATCTGTGAAGTACTTGATACAAAATTCCTTGGAATACATGTAGACAGTACACTGTCTTGGAAAATACATATTGAACAAATTATACCTAAATTAAATGCAGCTTGCTATGCGATGAGATCAATTAAGCCTTTTATTGTCACAGGAAACATTGAAGATGGTTTACCATGCCTACTTTCATTCTATTATGAACTATGGATTAATATTTTGGGGGAACTCTTCACATAGTGTAATAATTTTTAAAATACTAAAGAATATAATTAGAATCATTACAGGATGTAGAAGTAGAGATTCATGTAGAGAATTATTTAAGAAATTAAAAATTCTACCTCTTCAATCGCAATACATATTATCGCTTCTCTTATTTGTTGTTTACAACAAAGATAAATTCAAATTAAATTCTGATGTCTATAACATGAATACTAGACAAAAATATAACTTCCACCTACCCTCATCAACTTTATCAGTATATCAAAAAGGAGTCTACTTTACTGGCATAAAAGTGTTCAACAATCTGCCACAAAGTATTAAAAACTTGGGCAATGATACTAAAAAGTTTAAATCAGAGTTAAAGAATTATCTACATGCTCATTCCTTCTACTCTTTAGATGAATACTTCAATGTAAATAGAGAATGATGTAAAATTAAGTTATATTAATTTTTAAGCTAAAATTGCCTGTACTTATGTATGTAACCTTTTGACTTGTTCTGTATCCAAAGGTACTAACCTGCTTAGGATTTATAGAATGTAAATAAATTCAATTCAATTCAATTCAATATACTGTATAATCAGGTGATGATGAAGGCTATGGCAGTCCTTCAGTACAAATTGAAGGATAATTGTTTGTTAGAATATCTGGGGAAAAGTTAAGCACATTACTGATTCTTCATTTATTACTTTCATCCAGGGATCTGAAGTTACTTACATTTATTGAATTTTATTTTTACAGGTTTGAATATGTCTGAAGATGTGGCTGGCGCCACATTCATGGCAGCAGCAGTGTCATGCCCTGAGCTCTTTATCAATGTAGTGGGCACATTCATCACAGAAGGAGACATTGGTGTGGGCACTATTGTTGGGAGTGCTGTTTTCAATGTACTTGCTGTGCCAGCTTGCTGTGGGCTCTTTGCTACGCAGGTAACCCTTCTCACTTTCTTTTAATTTATCTTTATGTTGATATTTAAATTTTATACATAATAGTCATTTTCACCATTTTGGGACATTTGTAGTTTCGTATATATTGGTCATTTTTACCATATCCAGACATTTATGTTATTGAAAATTGTAATTTTTCGTTGTAAACGTTTTTGACTACATGAATATTTATTCAGATACGTCAACAAGTGTATTGTACATAGTTGTTCGTGTTTTACGTATTGCCCAGATATTTACTAAATTATACTTTTTAGCTTCTGTGATGTAAAATGCATGCAGTGATTAATACTCTTTGTGTTTCTGTATTTCAGCATCCTTTTGCACATCTTTAATTAAACATCTATGTATTAAGTCTATCAATAATGCAACAGTCATTAAAATATTCATCATTTAACACTAACACAACATGTTTCGGCCACAAATGGCCATCCTCAGATGTTTCAATATGTCCAAATTGTTACACTGCTTTGATGTTATGTTTGAAAAAGGTTAATTTCGCTTCGTGAACAGAATATCACTTAAAGGAAAATACTTGAAAGGAGAATTTTAAAAGCATTTTTATATAATGTTTCGCATTAAATGAAAATTCTGGAACTTACCACTTATTTGACTTATCAGTATGAATTGAAAATGTCACCTGTTTCTAATGTGTGCTTTTCATAGATGCTTATTATAAAATTCTGTTTTTTAAAAATGCAAAACTATCATTTCATAAGAGATGAGAGCGATGTCATATCATTACTGATGTCAGTTTCTTTCATTGGAAACTGTGTTGGACTGCCCTGGCACTTATGCCTCTAGGACTACACCCCTACTTCACAAAATCTGAAGGCTCACAAGAGACATACCACGAGTCCCCATCCAAATTTATTTTAATTCTAATATTATCGTCCCATTTCAGTGCAGATCTCTCAAAGTCTCCTCCCTTCGTGTATCTTGACATAAACTCTGAATTTGTTTCTCATTTTCTCCATCCATGATGCATGTCCCAGCCATATTATTCCCCACAATTGTATCCCTTAATCATATTTTGTCAAGAGTGTAAAATATGAAGCACCTCAATATGTAATTCTCTCTGCCCTCTTGTTACTTCTTCCATAAATCAATACTCCTCCTTTTATCTCAAATATCCAGAATCTATATTATTCTACTCATGTGAGACCAAGTACAGAAATTAATGAGAACATTTTACACAGGTGAAACTGAACTGGAAGTCATTATCCCGAGATTGTGGAATATACAGTCTCACTGTCATAGCCCTGATCACAGTGCTATTGGATGGCCGTGTGGAGTGGTATGAAGCACTCAGTCTTGTGCTGCTTTACACTTTCTACATTCTAGGTTTGTATGCATATGCTGCACCTGTGAAACTTGTACGCATTTAAATGCAGTCATTGACTGCACACAAGAAATAAATATGGATGGTGACTCCACTGATAATCCAAAAGTTATTTCCAGTGTCTTTAATGAATACTTCCTTTCAGATGCTGAAAAAAAACTCCCACAAGACAATACTACTACTACTACTACTACTACTACTACTACTACTACTACTACTACTACTACTACTACTACTACTACTAACAATAACAGCAGCAGCAGCAACAACAACAACAACAACAACAACACCAACAACAATAATAATGAAATTAATTATACCAAGGATAAACAAAGTAACACCATTAATAGTGATCAATCACACTATCTGTCTCATGGCTTTAAGAACCATTTCCAAATATACAACTCAACAACAATGGAAATTGAAAGCATCATTAAATCTCTTAAACCTAAAAGTACATGTGGATATGATGAAATAGTCACTAAATTACTTAAAATCGCCTCTGCTTATATTACCTCACTTCTAAATCATATATGTAATACATGTCTTTTATCAGGGACCTTTTCTCAGCGCCTAAAATACTCTATAGTAAAAACGTTATATAAAGAAGGAGATAGAATGGATGTTTCCAACTATAGACCAGTATGCATACTGACCTCTTTCTCAAAAATCGTTGAAAAATTAATATATAACAGACTACTTGAACATGTATTTAATAATAACATATTAGCAAAGAAACTATTTGGATTTGGGAAAAATCTAATAACAGAAAAGCAACTTGTGACCTAAGTAATGGAATCATAGATGCCCTTGATATAAAACTTAGTAGTAACAAGATCTTCTATGATCTAGCTAAAACATTCAACATCTTTAATTATGACACTTTGCTGCTCAAATTAAATTGGTATGGAATAACTGTTAAGGCCAATAATTGGATTAAATCATACCTTGTGGATAAATATCAAAGGGTGGAAATAAGAAACATAAATTTTAGTCATCAGATAGCTTCAAAATGCGGCAAAATAAGGCATGGTGTCCCACAGTGATCCATACTGGGTCCCTTCCTCTTTCTTCTTTATGTAAATGACTTGCCAGGTTTTAAGAATAAATCTAAAGAAATTATGTTTGCAGACAATTGTAGTATATAATAGTTTTCAACTCTAACCCCACAGATTTTATAAGTGACATAATGACCATATTTGAATACTTAAATATAAAAGTTCAGGGCCAGTAGTCTTTCATTAAATTTTGACAAAACCCATCTCATACAGTTAACAACTAAAACTGGATCCCAAATTAACCTGGATGTAAGCTATGTCAATCAAACTATTTTTAAAGCACATGACATGAAATTCCTTGGATTACTTATAAACAGTACACTGTCTTGAAAATTACATATTGAGCAGTTATTACATGTGCTAAGTGCAGCTTGTTATGCACTCTTATCTATTGAATCCTACATGTCTCAGGCAGTAATGAAAATGGTTTACTATGCCTACTTTCAATCTACTTTGCCATATGGAAAAATATTCTGGGGAAACTATACAGATAGCACTAAAATCTTCAACATGCAAAAGAGGTCAATTAGAATTATCATAGCAAGCAAGAATAGAGATTCTTGTGGAGTAATATTAAGCAATTTAAAACAGCATTGAAATGTTACTTACTTACTTACTTACTTACTTACTTACTTACTTACTTACTTACTCCCTCCCTCCCTCCTTCTACTCCCTAAATGAATATTTCAATGTAAACAAACAGTATATAATCAATGTATCAATTCTAAGCTAAAAGGTATTTCAAAGCAAGTTACTGTATAATTTTGCTTGTTTACAGACTGTGCATTATGTATTCAGTTGGCATGATAATATTAATACTGTATTCTAGCTGTAGCTTTTCGAGCAAAATTATTATTGTATGGATATTATGTATTTGTACTTAACTTATTCCATATCCTATGGTGTCAACCTATACTTGGATTTATGGAACATAAATAAATTCAAATTCAAATTCAAATTGACTGATTCTTTATAGTAATATGGTAATTACACATACCACCAATTTCATTGTCAGTAACTGGGTCTTTGGCCACACAAGGTACATCTATTTGTTCCTATGTTCTCAGATGAAATTACAATTATTTTTCTGAACACCAAACCTACAGATGCTATNATGCCAAAGAACGTTTCCAAAACGGAGGCCCTTTGTGATATTTTTTAATATGCTAGATTTTTTCAGTAAGAGTTTTTCCCTCCCCCCCCCCACACACACACACCCAGAAAACAGATAAACAAATAAAACAAAACAAACACAGACAATGTATGCATATTTGTGATGCAAGCACGTTTTGTCTCTATTTATGTTAGATTGTGGTTGAAAGACTGGGTGCAGTATTCCAAACCATCACTTTGATTTATCTGCTGTCTGTTTCAAAGACAACTGTGCCAGCATTACCACACCCAGAATAAATTTGGCTCAGCCAACATCCAGTAAAATATAATGTATTTTGATAAAAGTAGTAAGAGTACGAACTTGGAAATTTGGGTTTTACTCTACACTATCAGTGTTTCTATTTTTCAGCCTTTCTCATACTATGCAGTAATTATTTCATTCTGTCACATGACTGAATATTACTATAGACAGGGTTCCAATTGGTAATTGGATTTATTGCACGCTTATACACGCAGCTCATAACTACAAGTAACTATAGTGCTATTGCTAATTCACATATTCTGCAGTTCACTATGGTATGTTCGAAATTGTCTCAGTCTGCTGTATGTTCACCAGTGGTTGTCTGGTGATGGCTTCCAATGCTGCAGCTTCCTGAGCTTCTGTTACCATGTCCTTACTGGCCAGTAACTGTCTCACATATAACTCCAATTCTTCTAACTGCCATCTCAAGGCTCTCTCACAGTCGCAGCTATTCCTTGTTGTACAACCCCAGCATGAACCGCACAGAAAAGAACCACTTCCAACAGTTCTTCTATTATTGCTTACATGTCTGTTGTGGCCATTACCGAGCAATGGCCATTGTACGTGTATACAGAGCCACTGCCCAGCAACAGCTGTTGTATAGCTGCTTATTTCGTGGTCATTGCCTAACAATTGGTCTACATGCCACAATGCTTTCTGTTTATACTGAAGTACGTTGAGAGGTGTGTCATGTGTTTATTTAGTAATGAAAATATTAAGAATTACATAAAAGAACATACAAAGAAATCACTTAAGAATAAAACAACATATTTCAGGTTTGGCACCATTCCTTCTCACTATTATAAATTAATTGAAATAAAACGGTGAAACATGACAAATGTTGTTTACTCTCTGAGACATATCAGTACTGCTTCTGAAATTTTCCACCCTCAGTTAATCTACATCAAATTATTTCACATTCTGTTAACCTACTTCCATAAGATACATTTCAACAGATGAGGTGATGCTGACTTACGATACACTTTCTTTTTCTCACTTTAATACCTCTCTCTAAGGAGAAGAGGGATCAGGGTTGTAGACAGGGGCAAAGTGTGTTGTAAGATCAGTGAAGGTGGTTATCTGTTTCTTCATGACAAAAACACTAGCTTAGTGTATGTTCTCTTTGGATCTTTCAGGTGTAAGGGTTTGTATTCTTCAAAGCTATATTATTCAGTTATTCTTTTCTTTAAGCTGCAACCCCAAGATCATGTGTATTGTGTCTCAAGAAGTCTTCATGAGATGGTGCTTAATTAAAACATAGACAACTTTAACTTCTGTCCACATCCATGTTAATTCTTCTTAAAAAAATATTCTCAACAGAGCTATTTTAAATGTCTTCCATTTCCACATTTTCCCTCATACAGTGATAGACCAAGGATCCAAATTTTATAGAAAGATGACTGTAATTATGATTGTCTAATTCTGATGTTTAATTTTTGAGAAGAATGCAAAAACGAAAGATTCTTATGTGAATAAAAAGAGTGCATTTGGATACCTGTTTCATCACACACAAGAATTCTGATTCATTTAATCTTTGGCATTAATCTGTTGTGTTGGATTTATAAATTTGAAAACATAAGCCCAAGCAGATTGGTGTAATGGTACCTCACTAACTTGCATTTTGGAGGTGCTTGATTTGAATCTCTGCCCAAACACTGACTATCCTGGCCAGACTGTTTATGGCTTTCGCCACACATTCCAAGACATTTTTCAGGTAGTACCTTGATTTAGTCAGGACTATGTGTTAATCAAATGAGAGAAACCATGAATATGAAATTTATATGCTACAGTAATGTACTACAATGCTGAAATTGGACAATGGTTAAGTGGATGCTACTGCAAACACCATCATCCTTACAAACAAATACCTGGTCATGCCATCTCTTCAGAGAAAAAACCCTTGATTACACAGAATGTGCATGGGAGCAAGCTCATTAAATTTGAAGTCAATGGCCAACTACAAGGTAAGTAGTGAGGTAATTTAATATTAACGTCTCCAAACAGGAACCAAAAGTGACAGAGTGAATAGATATTCTGTGTTTAAAAGAATTATNTAATTGTTACATACAAAATGTGTTTACAATATTACTGAAGCTGGAAGCTCCCTGTACATTGCTTACATGCACATCAAATATGTCTTTTTTTTTCAGAGGTATATTCTCCCTTCATGTTTTTTAAATTTTTAAGAAAAATGCAAGACATGATATGAATGGAATGCTATAAGTATCTCAATATTTTATTATCAAAATAGATTTGCTCTTTTATGCAACAATTTATATTATTTTGTAAGGTGCTCCATATATCAGGGTCTTGTTAATGGTACACATTTCACATAGTGAAGACATAGCTATGTTCTTTTCTTAGAAATATTAATATCGGTTAAAATATGAAATTTGATCTTTATTGGGAGGTTAACATAAAGAACAGAGTCACTCTGTGGTCATCAACATGTGCAAATTTATGTTTTCATTTTTCAGAGAATGGGTATGCAAAATATAATGGGGATTTAAAAGACATGGAGAGTAATGCTTTTATCATTGAAGAGAACATCCCAGGTAAGTACCTATGAAATTATAACATATTAATTGATAGAATGCAGAAAATTAAGGTAAAATATGTAGTAAGATAAGGCTCTGAGACCATTTGGGCGACCCTGAGGTAGGTGGGAGGGTACTGGTAAAATGAATCCTAAAGATCTAGGGCTGGAAGTTGTGTTTCGGGATTATTTGCCTCAGGATAGAGACAACTGGTAGGGCCTTGTGACAGTGATAATCAATCTTCTGGTTTCATAAGAAATTCCCTCGAGTAACCAAGCAACTGTCAGCTTTTCATGATTAATTCTGCTCCATGATATTAGTTGTTAGATATAGTTTGATTAAATTATCCAAAGATGGATCAAGGAACTTATCATCTTCCAAATAACACTGTACAAATTTGTATGTGTATGGTACAAAATGCATAATTCAGAATTGTATAATAAACTGTAGAGTAGGTTGCATGACTTTCAGAGTCATGAAACAATAAAATATGGTCATGAGTCCTGTGAAACTTGGAAGCAAATATGACTGCTAGTGAGGCCCAGTAGCAATTTACCAGACCAGATATAATGTACTGTATTTCAGCATAATATAATATTATTCATTTTTGTCTAACACAAAGCAGGAAAATAATACGTAGAATTTGGTTATTAAAAGTTCTGTCTTCTGGGATGTAACACCATGTAGTCCATTGAAATTCAATCAGTGTTTCAGAGGAACATGTCACCTCCCTCTTTTGGGTGAAACAATAAGCCATGTAAGCCAATAAAAAATATTCCTCCGAAACATTTGTTTACTTTCAAGAGACTGTAGGATTATTTTCCAGAAGATATAACTCAGAAAAATATTAATTTGTGAGCTATGATAATTAGGAATTCTAATATAACGAACTAAAATATTGTGTCACAGAAAATTTTGTCAGGATAACTCACTTTGCCACAGTGCATATCAAAAGATATTGCCAGAATTTTAAATCAAATTAAAAGTTATATACATCAAAATAAGCCGTGAACTGAAAAGAGAAAAATACAGAAGAAACTAATTTAAAACTTCGCGTAGCATATCTGGGATTATTTAGAGAAATATTTCTGTTTCTCTTTGTGCAAGTTCAAAGAGAAAATACAGAAATTCAGGAAGTTTCTGACAAAAATATTACTTTTGGCACACATTTAGAACTCGTTATTCATGAGCCCCACAAATATTTGCTTTTATATTGAGTAAGAATTAATAGCAATCAAATTAGTAGTCTTCATTGCATGCTGGCATTGCAGTTTCTTGAAAGGTACATATAACTTTATCAGACTTTCAGGAATGGTTAAAAAATTAATTTTAGTAAAGAGATAAACATTAATTTAAGCACCACAGTGTTTATGTGAATCTCAGTAGTAAATTTATCTCTGATTCATTGATATTTTTAATAATTTTCCCCCATTTAAATAAGAAATCAGTGAGTGGCTTACAGCATATTACTGGAAAGAATTTAGTCTTTTCTTTTACACAAAATGCTATCCAATATTAGAAGGAAGCCATCATCCCAGACATTAATGACTATTATCATTGTTTCAGAAGTTAAAACTGGGTTATGCCATTGGCCATCGAAAGGAAGCTGCAGCAGTAAATTGTGTTGGCTGCTTATTAGACCAATAGCCATAGTGCTGGCTGCAACAATCCCTGACTGTCGTTCAGAATTGTGTAAGAGATTCTACATGGTGACTTTCTTAATGTGTGTTGTGTGGATTGGTGCAGCTTCATATCTGGTTGCATGGATGATAACCATTGTAGGTATGCAGAACGAGCTTTATAACACCCAGAGTACATCATAACATGAAAGAGTTCCTTATTAGGAGCCTGTTTCTTTCAGATTTAAGGTAAACTTTCCTGAAAATGTCATTATTTAAGTAGGCCTCCTTTTATGTGCCAGCCAATAGGATAATGCTTCAGGAAGCCATAGTTGGTTGCTGAATGTGTAAGTTTAAAAATGTATAACTAGGCTCACTCATAAAATCCCTTTTTTGTCATTATCACAAAAACTGTAAAACCAATGGAAGAAGAGTGTTGATCATAACATCAGGATTCATTTTTTTCTACAACAGGTACTTTTTCAGTTTATCTTTATTTCAGTACCCCAGTCCTTTCATATCCTATTCATATTCAAATAACCTGTGAGCCTGTACATCTAATAAAAATTATGAAAGGTCCACTAAGATATATGTGCTATCAATTTGAATCTGCCATTGACTAGAATATGCAGAACTGAGTTCAGCAGTGAATATTGAAGAAATTCTAGATTATTACATGGATTTCTATTTATAATGCTATTCATCTGTGACATCAGCAGCTCTAAGGTGTGGNTCACCACCCATACCCCTAAAAATACACCCAGCAAGCCAATGTAAAGCTAAGTGTTCTAGCGGTTCTTGTTCACAAGATTTTACACAAATAACTACAAATAACTCAAACTTCATACATACAAATTTCAACATCTACACAATATACAGCCACATAGAAAGCCTAAGAGGGTAAATTTCTGACATTGATGTTAGAACAAATCAGAGTGAGGTTCCCAGACAATCTCTTACTTCACTGATATTGAGCAGTTTTTTTACATATCAGTGAAATATTTAGATTTATTTTTCTTTTAATATCCTGTGTGAACAGGATCAATATCAGCATAGTGATAGTGCTACATTATAAGGTTGCACTGTAACAATAAATGAAAGCTAGCCTTTACTTTGTTTCTTCTAAAGTAAGATCAGTTCCATAAACTGTCACCTTAGGGGCATCTGGAATCATTCTCTATAAAGCAAAATAAGTTAGCACATTTTCATGCGTGTAAAGGTATAAAATTTTGCGCAGCTGGATGCAAATTATGGATGTTCATAAAGATTTCTTTCTTTTTTGTTAAGCTATTTGATGTAACCTAGGCCACTAGTGAGCCTACAGTTTTCTTTGGGTGGCATTCAGTAATATTTTTAAACTTTTGGTACAGGACATTTTCAAGTTAGGAAAGATACATACATACCCACAAACACATACAGCCATGCACGCGCGCACAGTCACACACACACACACATTCACGCGCGTGCACACACACACACACACAGAAATATACCAGTTTGATTTTACACGTAACTTTTTTCAACATAGATACAATATATCATAATCTGCCCTTCTGTTTTCTTCAGTGTTTGCTCCATTTTTCTACAGCTTTGTGACAGTGTACATTGATGTGGTATTTTCATTCTGAATAATAATAGTCTGGCTAATCATATATACAATATGAAGTATATGCTAAAAGCAGCATTCACAACTAAATAGTTATACGTGTATTATGGACTGTTGTACATATGTGTACATATGTTTTGCTCTCAGCAATCAATACAAGTTCTCAGAGTTCATTTTGTATGACACTGGAAAAACGAAACATCAAGGAAGCTTATTCCATGTGGCTTTGAAGTAATAATAAAATGAGACTTTTCCCTTGCAGGAGAAACTCTGAAAATTCCAGATTCTGTGATGGGTCTTACATTCTTGGCTGCAGGCATGAGCATACCAGAAGCTGTTTCAAGTGTGATTGTAGCTAACAAAGGTAACATTTCATTAATGATCGATTGACTTATATATAACTAATTTTTTGGAGCATAATTCTCCTTAAGAATCTCAGCTGGTAAAACAATTCACAACATTTTATGTAACACAAAAGCATATTATCATATTCACCATATCCCATGACTGAACCAATTCAATCCAGTCCTCAGTGCAATACCCTATTTATCAAAAATTCATTTCAGTATAATTCTCCCATGTAATTACATGTAATAAAGAATAGCAGCGGCACGCACACAGAAAGACTACACAGGATAACAACTATACAGTGTGGAAACAAGAACTAGCCGCTGCAGCACTTTAAACATAGGGCGAATAACCCTAATAATTTTAAAATTTGGAGAAAGAATTTAAAGGTTTTAAAATTAGAACTAAAGATTTTATTATGGTGCCACTACAATAAAGTAAAATTAACGTGTGTGGAATAATCTACGAGCCAGACAGCTATCAACGGATTGGAAGTTGATAATGACAGGGAGAGTGTTTTAGATATTAAATTTTGAGCTGGGTGTAGTGTGACAGCGACGTGAGTGTTATACACCTGATGATGGCCGTCTGAGGCCGAAACATGTAGTGTGGGGAAGCAAGATCAAAGACACAAAATATATTGTTTGCACTTGAGACGGAGTTTATATCATTTATCCTTTATTTGTTATTTGGCCTTATACATGCAATCTGCTGACTGTGTTGATGAGTTCTGTTTTCTGGGATATAAAATCATGTAGTCAGCTGAAATTCAACTGATGTTTTGGAGGAACATATCACCTCCATCTTCAGGGCTGAAAATGGACATAACATGTTCCTCCAAAACAGTGTCTGACTTTCAGTGGATGACAAAGAGTTATAGCCCAGAAGATGGAACTCTTTGTAACCACTACTATGAGAACCTCAGAACCTATATGCAAATTACAGTGTTTGATGATAACCACACAAGGATTGGTGGCCATATTTGTAAAGTATGGTTCACTGTGTATATTAGTTAGTTAGTTATTGGAGAGGGTGGGTTTCCCCATGCACTTAGACCTGTATTGGTCCATTGTGCTTCCCTCTATGATTTCTACCAGTCTCTATATCCTACCGGTACTGGTGCTTACCATCAGTCCCGCCCAGCCAGCGAGACCGGCTCTACTAGCTGAGAGGTATCTATAATGCTTCCCCCATCTCTCAGAGGTATTAGAGACTGCTGTTGGGTGGGAAACGTCCGCAATTTGGCTCAGTGACCTCCTTTGGAGATATAAGGTTCTTTTACATGCCGTAAAGCTATGACACGGGACCCACGGCTTAAAGTCCCTCCCGGAGGACTTCTCCCTGAATTTTTCCGCCCTTAAAAATTCGACAACCTCCGCCGGGTATTTGAACCCGCGTACTACGACTCATGAGGTGGGAACGTTACCTCTAGACTGCGGAGGCCGCTCACTATGTATATTATATGTTAATTATTATTTGCAGTCTTCATTGTTAATTACAAATCCATTGGATTCTATTAAACCAATGTTACTGAATTATTTACTGCACTGAAATCCGTAACAGGGGACAGTAGTAGTGAAAAGGACCAAGGGAAGTTGATTATACTGTAAAATAGTTAACTGCCTCTTGCAGATTCTTACCTACTTCTCCCTTGGGATTATTTTCTACCTCATTTGATAATATATAACCATTGTAATTTTAACCACAAAATTAAATGACATAATAAAGTCACAAATTTGCAGGTTTTTGAGAGGTAGGATTTGAAGAAGACATGTAGAAAATTCTATACTGAATTTAACTATAGCTTTCTCAAACCATAATAATACCTGTTTCCAGTACTCGGTATTTTATTCCTAACACTATTGGTATCAGTGATCACGATTCAAGGAACTTTCCTCAACAATCTGTCATTTTCAATTCTGTAACTCTGCATGATGTGGTACATTGTTACTTAGGATCTCTAATTATTTTTTAGATAACTTACATAATCATACAGGTTTCGGCATTCTAAACTGAACAGCTGCCATCATAAAAATTTTCATGTTTCACATGTTGGTAATGTTAAAAGGAGTAGTCATCAGCAAAAAAATCTCCTGATGAATATCATAAAATTTTAACAGTTTGTTTAAATATTTTGAAGATACGCATTCATGCAGTGGGTTGCACCAAAATTCAAGGTGCTGCAGACTTTTCACAATAAAAAGTCTTATCCAAAATAGTTTCAAAGACACATATTCCATTTTTTCATTACTGTTTCTTTCATATTTTGAATTATTCTGTTACAGGTCATGGAAGTATGGGAATCAGTAATTCTATTGGTTCTAACACATTTGATATTTTACTGTGTCTTGGACTGCCTTGGCTGATCAAGTGTACTTTCTTACCTGCAACTGAAGGCAACCATTATGTACAGATAAATTCTGGTGGCATGGGATACAGCGCCATTTTACTCTTTTCTTCATTGCTTGTTCTCTATCTTACTTTCTTATTCAACGATTTCAAACTAGACAAGAAAGTGGGAACAATTTTTCTTGTCGTCTATGTTGTATTTCTTATTATGGCAGCCCTCTTAGAATTGAACACATTTTTCCCAGTGAATCTCCCGGTGTGTGGACAGGGATATTAATTTAAACACTTCATTGTTGCTTACATAGCAGAGTATCTAGACATTTTTTAATCTATAAACATGCCTCAATACTGTTTGATTTCTTATTCAGTTTATAATTAGTTTTTTCTCTTAACTTTTGTATCTCATGCGTGGGAAAACCTTTTTGCACGAGGAAAAAACAAGACATTTAAAACATTGATGCAAGAAACACACACATAAGAGAAAACCTAATTACATTCAGCTTTAGGATTAAAGATTAGGTTCATTTTTTTTTTACATTTTTCAGCCTCAAGATTGCTTTTTATTAATATTTGAAGTTCTCACAGTGGTGATTGGCAAAGTACACTGCGTTCAAGGAATGAGGAAACTTCGCTATGCCGCTGACCGCATCCAAAATTCCTAACAGATTGCTGCTGCAACTCCCGATAGAAGAATGAGTCATTAGCACTGATAAACGCGCACGGTCGGATGGCATGATCTTCTCACTGCAGTTAAGTCACAGTAATAGTCAGTCTGTGTTAGAGATTTTGATAGGCGGTCAACATTTATACTCAAATGAAGTTCACTATTGAACAGCGTGTGTTTATTGTCAGAATTTTTCCAAGGAAAGAAAACTTACAGAAAATGTATCAGTAAGTTTCAATGTAAATATCCTGATGCACCAGTTTCCACAAAGTCGTGTGTATCCAAGCTTGTGAAAAAGTGGTGGGTCATAGGTTCAGTGTGTGACATAAAGAAGCAATAGAAGAGGATTGTGCTAACTGAAGAAAAAGTTTGGGATATTGCGGCAGGACTACAGATCAGTCCTCAAAAATCACTAAGATGTTTAGCACAGAAAACTGGTGTTTCGCTAGGATCTGCTTTCACAGCCGCAGAATTAATCCAATTTTGCCTGTATAAAATAACAAAATGAAATAACACGCATAATTAGTACAATTACAGTGGACCAACTTCAGAGAGTGTCGCATAATTTATTTATGTGATGCAAGGCATATTTGCAACCAGAAGGGGTTCACTTTCAGCACCTGTTACAAAGCAAGGTAAGTTTGTGTTATCTTTTTACAGTATTCTTATAAATATGTGCATGTACGGAAACTGATGTGAGGGAATAGTTGCGGAGAAATGATCCATCCGCTCTACGCTAGTGAGTGTGCGCACGTTTATCAGCACTGATGACTCATTCCGCTATCGGCAGTTACGGCAGAAATCTGTGAGAAATATTGTATCCGACTCACACTACTTCCCTGGTTTCCTCGATTATTGAACATTCTCTAGTTTCTTTTGGTGTGTAAATCCATAGAGTTAAGAGATAGCCAGACATTTTGGAGAACAATTTTCCTCGATCTTCAGGGTTGAAAAGTATCCAAACAGAACACCAGCAGAAGTAGGCAACTAGCCAAGCTAATTTACTGCCTGTTTTTCTAGTTTCTTTTTGCTTGGCTTATTCTTCTAACTTGAAGATGGAGAAAATATGTTAGCCAGAATATCAGGCTCTCCCCAAAGTACACAGCATCACAGCCCAGAGGACCATAATCTTTAGTAACTGTTAATACGTTCTTTGATTTTATGTTTATGTTTATTCATGTGTTTGGGTAAACCACAATGGCATCAGCTTTTAATCATGGCATTTACCCTACATGATCAGGAAGGTTTTTGGAGAGGAAGGAATACCGAATGTAAAACACACAATATACAAAGTAAGAGCAAAAGATACAGCTTCAAACAGCAGTATATTGACTTTCAGCTGGGCTTAAGTTCATTATTGGACCATTAGTATTATGTTGAAGATCCTTTCGGTGATGCTCTGTTGATGGGATTGCTTTCATATCCCTTAAATGGGTTGTGCTTTATTCTTTATTCCAGATGTAAAGAAATAAAACTTACAGGAGCCTAGTCCATAATGTAACAGACTACATTTTGGATAGCTGGAGTTGAAATACTGACAGGAATGTAAAGATTTTTCTTTATGTCATTATATTCTTAACAGCCCCATCTATCTCGCCTCTCAACTAATTGGGAATTCAGTTGCTTCCCCAGGGTTACATAAGTTTGAGGCATAGATATGACCATGTGTTTTTCCAACACCAAGTTAAGGACCACATGGAATTTTACTTCACTACCTCATATGTGCCTATAGTGCATGGTGCTTAGGCACAAAGGAAACTTCTCCTTATTAAGGCATAGTATCCTTATGTGAGAAAGAGTCTGAATAATGGGTAATACTTTACACAAGACCTCTCACTTAGAGCCATTAGCCTTCCTAATGTGGATTTATATGAGTATATGTTGCAGGGGTTAGCTAGCTACAGCCCATGTTTACAGAGTCGCCACTTAGCAATGGGCACAATATGTATATATGTTCCCAACTTATAAATAAGCTATATAGTGTGAATAAATAAGTAGGAGGGGTATTGTAAAACTAATTATGGTCAGTTTTCACCATCTTTTCTCTTCTAATTTATCATTGTTGTTAAAATATTGAGTTCTTATATCTGATTCAGCCTTGCAATGAGCTGATCACCCTCCCAAGGAGTCCTACCGAATGTGTAAGATCTAGAAAAACCGAAAGTGAACGGAGAAATTCATGGAGGTAGGCCTAGGCCCACTGGGGCTGTAGTGCCAAGAAAAAAAAATCTGATTCGGTAGTTGAGCTGTGCCTCAGTCCACTTATATTAAGCTTCGGCAGACCCACATACAAATACAGGTATTAGATATATGAAAATAGATTTTGCAATCTTTTGTCTAATTTGCATTTATTACAATAACTTAAAAATGACATTAATTTATGTCAAGAATATAGCAATTATAATATTGAAACAATTCTTGTTACTTTAAATAATTAAATATTTTGACCATTTACATTTATGACTTCATAAATCGTTGATACCTGTCTTTCACAATACAAAAACAGTTGCAAGCAAGATTAATAATTTTCAGAACCACATACCATAAACTTTTCCAGAGAAATAATGAAAGTGTAACATCTACAAATTTATAACTTCAGTAGCCATATTATTTACGACTGCACACGGTTGCTCAGGGAATATAGTACAATTCGGAATCTTTGTATGGTACAATGGTAAAGGAAACTGATAAAATGTGAAAATGTTACAGACTGCACAATTTACCAGACATATGTATATGAACCATAGGAGAATAATGGTAAGGTAATTGGTAAGGAAATATGACATTGCTGTTAAATACTGTAGAGTTACATATATGAGTGTTCTCTAAATTTGTTGTCAAGAGCAATGACTTTAATTATGAATAATTGCCATAAATAATTAAAATTATACATAAAATATCAAACATAAACATTAACATTAATACCTTATGCATTTGCTTGCAAACATACATTTGTAAGCAAATAATTTTCTTCTTCCAGGAGTTTTCCCCTTTTCATAGATTCCATATTTTTATATTCCATAACCCTCTATCATTGAAGTCCCTTTTCTTCGAATTTCTTCCTTCCATTGCTTCATAAATTCCTTGTAAATACCATGTTTTTTCTTCCTCATCCAGGTTTCAAGCTGGTGTCCAGTAAATTAGTTGTTTTAACCATTCCTGTTCTCTGATTTTTCGAAACCTCCTCCTCCTCATTCTTCTTCTTCTTCTTCTTCTTCTTCTTCTTCAATTAAATTCTCTTATTTTTTTAAATGACCCATTTACTGTGGCCATAGGTCTCAACCATTCTGTCCCCCTCTTTCCGTAAATTTAGGAATTCCTTGTAACTGCCATGTTTTAACTGGATTTCCATTTTTCACCTAGTGAATTAATAGTATTTGGCACTTGTTTCCTTCAATTCTATGTCTGTACTTTCATAGTACTTCATTTCCTGTACTCACCACAATTCTTTCTTTTGTCTCCAAGTGTTCACCTAGTTTTTGTATTTCACTCATCTAGCATGTTACATGGAAAATTTCATTCCACTCATGAACTTTCTCTGTGGTGGAAAATGGCATAGGTGTTGATCAGAGTCTTTGTATTGAGCACCTATTATTAATGTAGGATGTTACTTTAGGAGTTCTGAGGCAAAAAGTTATTTTCCTGTAGTATTAGAAGTCACAGAATCTCAGAATTTTATGTTTCAGTTGTAACAGCTGCATAGTTGATCAGAATGTGTGAAATAAATGAAATAAGGAGATGCTGGCATCATGGAAAGAATATTAAATCAAGATACACTCTCTCTAGGCATGCTATACAAAGTGAAATAAAGTTCTCTTTATGCAGTTTCATTGAGCAAAAAATCTGAGCAGAGGAAAAGGAAATTGTTGGGTAAATAAATGTGAAAGTAATTATTTTCATATTTCAGCACATAAAGGCCTATTAACATAAAAGAATACATTCATTTCAATGAGAACAGAAACTGTGATGAAAATGAAATATGTGACGAGACATGTGAATCCAAGAAGCTTTCCAAGATGGAATTTGAAAACAGCTATGACAACATAAAGTAGCAGGACACTGGAGAGGAGAGCAAAACAATTGTAGGTGACACCTTCTGAAATGATGTTGACTGCACTACTGTTTGTATTACCAGTTTGGATGATTTGTACAATGCATTTGATAAACCAAGGCGTACCAAGACAGAGAAGAATGTTGAGAGTATTGGCTCCAACAGAGGAACTGATCCCCATGGCTCCCACACCTGCAATATGGAAAAGAGCACACTTGATGCTAAAGACTATGAGTCAGAAACAGAACCCAAATAAAATTAAGATGTGCATCTCTTAGGTAATAAACCGATGAAACAAGTATATGAATTATTTAGCAAATATATTAGGTAAGATTTGAGGCTTTCACGGCGCTGACTATGAAGAAAGCAGTCTTCTGGGATTTGGCACCGTGTATATGTGGTGTTAACCGACGTTTCGGAGGAACGTATCGCCTCCATCTTCAGGGTAGAAGAAAAAAAATATATAAGAATCTGCAAGCAAAGAGACCGTGAGAAGCGGTAAAAGCAGACTGCTTTTACTGCTTTTTTTATTTATATATATATTTTTTTCTTCTACCCTGAAGATGGAGGCGATACGTTCCTCCGAAACGTCGGTTAACACCACATATACACGGTGCCAAATCCCAGAAGACTGCTTTCTTCAAATATATTAGGCTTTTACAAAATAAAAACCCGAAAGCATAAAAGAAGAAGAAGAAGAATTTACAAATACTGTCTTTTGTAAAGTAATATTCAGAGTACATTTTTTAAATTATATGAAATAGTAGTTTAATCAATATAAAATATGGTACTGTGATGTGGACTTAGGGAAACAGAAAATGACAATTGAAGGAGAAGAAACGAGAACCTTATGGCTCATCAGAATACATATGATCAGACAGAGAAGTTCTGAAATAGAAGATAGAAGTAAGATCGGTAATATAGCACCATAGATAAGAGAAGACTGGAAAATTACATGCAGATAGAATACATGAAGATGGGTGGCCGAAAACAGTATTAAATTACAGAATAAGATGTGAGAGATCTTAGATGTATATTAAGGCCAGTGAAGGTAAGAGTAAGATTGTCCCTTTGCCCAGTTAAGCGTGATACACACATGTTGAAGGTGTAGGGGAAATAAGAGTTATAGCTCCATATATATAAAACCTTGGTATTAATTGGAGGTGAGCACTGGAATTGAAAAGAGTAATTGGTGAAGAAAAGAAGAAGAAAATAGTTATTTTCTAGGCAAGAAAATTATATAAATACAAAAGAATATAAAGAAAAATTATGTAAAAACTTTACTGCATGAGAGAGGGAAAGTGTTATAAAACAATTCATAGTTTTAGTAAAAGTAAATCTCTTTCACCACTGTAGCATATGCATTACCTCAAACAACAAAATAACTCACCCTTCCGTGCCATGATGATAGATGAAAATGCTTCAGGTAAACTTCCACCTGCTGCAAGCATAGTAAGGCCCATGACAGAATCAGGAACTCCCAATGTATTACCTAAAAGATATAACAATTGGAATTATTGATTTTCAGATCTGATCTGCTTCTGTTTATTACACTGATGTGTTCTTTGTAAATTTCTTTATTGTAGTTATGTTTTATTTTGGTTTTTAAGAATGTAACTCTATCCCATAGCATAATGGATGATCATTGAAAGTTAGGAAATAATTTGTTTGTTTAAGAGCCAGTTAGGATTATTTTGATATTATAATGGGCAGAAGAGTATCAATGAAATATATGGAATTCACAAATGCTTGAATAGTTTAGTTACTCAATATATTGTTGTGTGTTTCTTAGGTAACGTGGCAAGAAAATTGTGCGAGTCTCGGATTTGTACACTCACGTTTTACACTTACAAATACAATTATTTGCACTTACAACGTCTTTAGAAATTTCTTCTTCAATGTTACAACATTCTTGCACCACTGAAAGGAGGAGGAGATTGAGGAAAAGGAGGAAGAGGCAGAAGGCTGGAGAGAGAAGCAGAAGAATGAGATGAGGCAGAAGGAAAGGGAATAATAATAACAACGACAACAACAACAACAACAACAATAATAACAATAATAATAATAATAATAATAATAATAAGCTGGAAAAGGAAACAGATGGCTATACTCGTATAATTCTAAATATAAGGAAGGAGAAGAGGAAGGACACATGGAGAATGATTAAGAAGAAAATGAGGAAAAATTTGACAGACCATTGACCTATATTGATCAAGATGTGATAATGGATCAACTAGGAAGAAGAAAGGGAACAGAGGGAGGGGAAATGATAGATACAGGATTAGAAATATAAGAGGGAAGAGAAGAAAGGAGAATGAAATGAGGGAGAAGAATTAAAATTCTTTTCAATCAATAAAATACTAAAATGACAAGAGTTGACTACCACGCTGGTTGGTGTAGCAGTAATGATCTGGACTTATATTTGGGAGTTGACCAGTTCAAGTCTTGGCCTGCCCAACACCAGGATATTATTTTGATTCAGCCCTGAATGTATCCTTCCAAATCCTTCCCAATTCATCAGCCATTCTGCCATTCAACACTATTTAATATAAGGCGTGACACTCTAGTAAAATAAACCACAAAAGACAGAAGGAAGTTTTCTGTGAGGGAGGTGGCAACAAGTACCACCAGGAAGAATGAGAATGAACTAAAGAGGGAGATTGATGTTAAAACAAGAAGGCTGAGTTGATTAGGAAGAACTGAAAACTCTAAGCATTTTTATAATAGGGACTAAATGTTTATATAATTAGAATGAAATACATACCTATAATTGTCATCATCCAAGCATTCAAGTATGATGCTGTAGCTATCCATACGATGCACATAATGAATGTGAGAGGATATAAATGGCGAAAGTGATTTTTTCGACAGTCTGGTATACTGATGAAGACCAAGAGTGAAATTGGCCATAAGAATATATTCCACACTTTGTCCAGTAGGCCCCCTACTGGTGGGCACATCAGACGACCTGCTGGAGAAAATATACTTTAGTAGTACTAACCTCCAATAATTGATGGTATATATATATGTGTGTGTGTTTTTAATTAAACAAACGATCTCACTCTTACTTCCTTTTTTGGGAGATTTTTCTGTATCATCTGAAGTCATCTTGTTACTGACAGTAAAATCACCATGAAGATACCAGCGGTATATTCCAGGGCCAACATTTGAATAAACCTCTGATGTAGAGCTCTCTGAAAATGTTTACATAATTCAGTACTAGTATTATAGCAGCAGTAACAGTAGCAGTAGCTCAGTTGGACATTGAAATTAGCCAAGAAAAACAACTTCTTGATTAGAATCTACTCTACTCAATCTTGTTTTCAAGAAATTCCCTTGAATTCATGGAATGCAGAATTTCATTACTATCACCAGTCTCGATTTCTGATTCCATTCTCAGTCACTTCCGCCTGATTCATATCATTATTATCTAATTTTCCCATAAGGTCGATTTTGATATTATACCAATCTATGCTTTCATTTGCTGAGGAATATCTTTGAAATTTTCTTACCAATGATTTTGTATTGATTTCTTTTTCCTCTCTATGCACCACATATCAAGCTTCTTCCAGTCATGGTAACAATATTAGGCGAAGAGCGAAAGACAGAGAGTCCTTTAACATATAAATTTCTCTGTTCTCTTCTTAATATTTCTCAGATCCACATATTCTCCTCTCTTATTTGTTTCAAATACATTCAATATCTATTCATCGTTCTAGTTTTAACATGAGAAAAATTAAAGTAGTCAGATACAAGGAAAGAATTTACAGAATAATCAACAAGGATATGTATACACTATATTCCTTGATACAGACAATATAATTTGTGTATCATGTACATCAAAATAGTAATCTCTGCTGTTCAGAAATTTGATTAGACAAATAAAAACGTTTTCATAGAAGTTAAATTGAGGAAGAAGGTAAAAGTAACATTGTCTCTGTCCCTGGCTTTCGTTCCATGAAGGCATACACAGGCACTGAATAAGAGACTGAGTGCTACCCAGAGCCATTCTGTATTTAGTGACAAAAATAACAGTTCTCACATACCTATTGGGTTTGGAATCTTCTTCATGAGGACATTAGCCATTCAGTTTACACACTGATTTGTCATATCTGTATTGTTGATATGCGATTTCTTTTATGATTGATAAGTTATTATTAAGCATGTTTACCTATTTACTTACTCATGGAGTTGAACCCTTCTGGAGGAGCCGCCAATCCTGCAGCTACTCAAGAATTTTCCAGCATTTTATGGAACCCAAAGGTTCATTGCCATGTTCACAAGAGCCATCCACTGGTCCCTATCCTGAACTAGTTCAATCCAATCCATACCATCCCATCCTATCTCTCTAAGATCCATTTTAATACTGTCCAACCACCTACACCTTGGTCTTTCCAGTGACCTCTTTCCTTCTGACTTTTCCACCAATATCTTATATGCATTCTCCAATCATGCTACATGCCCTGCCCACCCTGTCCTCCTTGACTTGATTATTCTAATTATACTTGGAGAAGAGTACAAGTTATGAAGCTCCTCATTATGCAGTTTTCTCCAACCTCCTGTCACTTCACCTCTCTTCGGTCAAAATATTCTCCTTAACACCCTGTTCTCAAACACCCTCAGTCTATGTTTCTCCCTTAATGCTACAGACCAAGTTTGACATCCATACAGAACCACAGGCAAAATTACAGTTTTGTATATTATAATTCTTATGTTTTTGACAGCAGATGAGAAGACAAAAGGTTCTTTACTGAATGGTAGCAAGCATTACCCATGTTCAGTCTCCTCTTAATAACCTCCTGAATTAGGTTTTGATTTGTTATCGTTCTCTGCATTTTGGTGACAAGGCAGCAACATATATTTAGTTTTCTCTGTGTTTACTTCTAGACCAACCTCCTTACATGCGTCAATTAAAGTTTGTGTGTTTTTCTTTATGGTATCTACTCGTATATTGTCACAAGTAGATTCACATCATCGGCCTAGACCAACAGCTGATGTGTCCCGTTTAATTTCAGCCCAACCTGGTTTTCCTGGACCTTCCTCATTGCATTTTCTAAATATGTAATAGAAATAGGAAAACTTTGGGAAATAAACAGCAAGAAACCCAGAAACAAAGCTGTTGCAAATTTGTGATTGAACACAGGACATGACTGCCTTGCAGCACATCTTTGTAAGATAAGAATATATAACACAGAAGAATGTACACTGTGCAACTTGCCAGTATTATCTAAGGGAAGGGTCTCCAAACCACGGCCCGCAGGCCACATCCGGCCGGCGATGTGATTTTATCCGGCCAGCAAAAGAATTGCGCAGAAATGCGCTGGTTTGATGCCACCTCCATCCCATCTGACCTCCTGTAATCCCACTAAATCTAACTTATATTTTAAGACTTTTTCTGCCACTCTGCCACTGCCCTCAGCGAACCTGACATATACGTACTTCTGACGTTCCAGGTACCAAATCTCATATCCATTTTCTTTAGCCTACGTCGTTTATCCAGAGGATCCGTCCAGGTCCGAGGCTTTTTGTTCATTTTCATAACAGGATTATTTTTTACAGTGAGGAGTTTTTAGCCCCGCCCCCAATCCCCAAGCTGGAAGACCACCCCCTGTTGGCTCTCCACGACTGCTTATTCATTATATTTGCAGCTTCCCTCCAAACCTGGAGGGTGTCTCCTCCATCTGCAACCTGAGGACGCGCCATGCCCTGGTGACAAGGGACCCATCTAACATGGATTAAGCATGTTTATTTAAGAATAATACTACATCATTTTTTTTAAGAATATATTTTCCACATTCAGTATTATGAGTGTCTAAGGGCTGAATGATCAGGGTTCAGTTCCTAGCAAGGATGAGGGGATTTTTCTTTGCCACCATATCAACATGGGTCCTCAGGCCTACCCACCCTACAACCATATGGGCACAAAGGACTCTTTCCCAAGTAATTAAATGGCCAGAGCGTGGAGCTGACCACTCACCTCCATCTAGTACTAAAGTTAGGAATCAGTCTGTTGAGACAGGCGTGCGAGCTTGACTTCAGCATATTATTTTCGTGGAGGAGACTTAAATAATTTAACTGACTTCAGTTTTTACAGGAGCATTTGCAAAAAAAAAAAAAAATTGTTTTGTGGGACAATTGCACTGATAATTTGAATGGTGGCATTTATTTAAAACTTTGGAATTTGTAAAACAAATAAATAATTGGTTCAAGGAAATACTTGTTCCTCATACAATTACAATTTTTTTCTCCTGCATAGTTCTTTTCTAAATTTAACATCTGATAATGTGTAATTTATTGGATAAGAGAAGTCTCCAACAATACATGAAAAGATGGAGAACTGTCATCTGAAAAAACAAAGAAGTTCTGAGGGTGTAATCCTCTTGTATTATAATATTTTTTCTTAAGTTTTACATTGAAGTTGTTTTGACAGCAGAGGTCACAGGGAATCCATTGTGACCCTGTAGAATGCAATCATTAATCTGACTGTGTAGTATCTCAGCATTTAATTGGAGAGGCAAGAATTAAAAAAAAAACGCTGTCAGGATAATTAGTAATATAATTGAGGTCTGAAACGTGTGCTTTCAGATAAAAAATCTGTTATTGCTACACAAGTGTCCTTGCTACATCAACCTGACCAGTATGTCATGCTGCATTATTCCCCCAAGAGACACTTGTTATAATTTTAGAACAAAATAGCAAAACACTAATTTACCTGGATCATTTAGAACAGTTTTACTGCCAATAATTTTGACTTCAATTTTCTTAGCCAACTTCATAAGGTGTCCATTTCCCCACATTATGAGGAAGTATGTAATATACATAAGGAATAGTATGAGAGCTTCATACCACTCTACTTTCTCATCAAGAGTCACTGCAGTCAGAACTCCAATGGTAACAATGTAGAGGCTACAGTCACGTGTCAGTGGCCACCATTCAAGAATAATAGTCTGAAATGTAACATGAACTGTCAGGTATATTGTTATAAGTATGAGTAACACATATGTACTCATATGGATCCTGTTTCTGGGTGTTAGTACATTTGTGAATGTAGCCTCTATTGATAGCTATTTATTGATGGATGAAATAGGCAGGAGCTATGATCAATGTATGGACCTGTACTATGAGTATGAGTATCAGCATCAGAGATCATTAAGAATCACTTTTCCTTGAATATGGAGACAGCAAGTATCTACAAAACGTTGGAAATACATCATATCTAGATGGTAACCTCACCCAGAAACAGGATGCATATTGGTATCGAACTACTGTCAAAGACTGACATCCTCTAGTACATGTGTTTGTAACTCTAGAAGAGTTCATCATGTCTAATATCTAAATATACCTAATTTTTCTGAATGCTACATGAAAAAGACTATGAGATTCCATGAAGCGGCCAGGATTTGATTTCAGCCTCTTCCAAAATTAAACAAACTTGGAGAATTGTACTTTATGGAGAACATACAAGTTGAAAATTGCCGTTTTCTGGGATACAGCACCTTGTAGTCCATATATGAATTGACATTTCAGAGGAACATATCACCTCCATTTTCAGGGTCGAAAATCAGCTGAGCAAGAAACCAGCAAGAGTGGGTGGCTGGGCAGGATGAGCTGTCAATCAGGATAAATATTATATAGGGGCTCCGGCTTGGTTGATTTTCGACCCTGATGGAGGTGATATGTTCCTCTGAAATGTTAGTTCATATACAGATTACATGGTGCGATATCCTAGATTATGCAAATTTCATACCTTCTGCTGTGAGAACCTCAAAACCTAGAAAATATAAGTTATTTCACAAATACACTGAACTCTCAGTTATCTGCAGAAATGAAATAGAGAAATAGTGCAAATAATTAAGAGAAAGTAATAATCCAAATAATTGAACTGTGTGAAGTTAAAATCTGTAATGAGCCGTAGACAGTAGAGTCTTGTTTCTGTGCTACTGGTTACTAAACAGTGAGACTAATGCCTTTCTAATAGAAGAAAGCTACACTTTTTGGTCGCAGTGGTGCAATATGAAGGTTAATAAAGTAGTACAGTAGAAATTTTCAACAGCTTGAGAAGATATACAATCTACTGAAAATTGTTGTAATGCGTTACTGACATATATTGCTAAAAGAGATGTAATGAAAAAAGTTAAATCATGATGGGAACTTTAATAAATAACTCACTGCTCTAGAAGTTCTCTCATTAATCCAATATGAGGATAGTCTGGATGCAGATAAACAAAAGTATAATGTATGTGCTTTATTAATTTGCATAGGTACTTCATTGACTACAAATACAACTCTGTTATTATAGATAACATTTCTGCAAGCTTAATAACACTATATTAAGTATAAACTTATTTTCCACTGTATATCATTAATTATTCATTATTTTAAAACTGTTTCTAATTACAAATTTTAGAAGATATTTAAGGTTCTCAGCGTGGTAAATACTAAAATAATAATCTTCTGACATATGACATGGTGAATTATGTTAGAAAGACATCAACATTTCTACCCTGAGTTTGGGGCCTTGGGTTTCTCAAAAATGTTAGTACCTTTCTAGCAAACCACATTTCATCACATCCCACAAGACTGTAGCCTTGCAAAATTTGAGAACTTAATAAGATGTGTAAAGTGAGTGTTAAATTTGACTGATAAAAATCTAAATTAAATTCAAACAACAATATTTATTGCAACCCCCCCCCCTCCAATCAAAGAAAAATTTAATTGAAATCCACTAAATTTGAGTATCTCATGGCGATGACTGTCAAAGGTATGGCCTTCTGGGTTGTAGTGCTTGGTAATTAGGACAGAGTCCAAAGTTCAGAAGGAATATATTGCATCTTTTATCTTCCAGGTTGAAGAGTAAGCCAAGCAAGAGACCAGCAGAAGCAGGTGGGAAGCTGACTACATGGTGTTACAAGCCAGAAGATGGTATGCTTGTTAATTGAAATCCATTAATTCATTTTGGAGATAAATTTTGGCAAACAAATGGACACACAGATATATAGAAATGGTATCATGAATATTCATTAATTCTACGTACCTTAGAGTCATAAACTCCATAGCCTTATGGAGTTAAAGAACTAGATTTTCAACATACTACATCATATTCTTGTGTAAGTCTCTTTAAGCACTATAATTCCATAGCTACAAATTCCACAAATTTAAGTTCTATGACTTCAAAGGAGACCAGATGCCTTATGATGAATTTATATATTTGATTGTGTCAGAAGCAGCATCTTGAAAGTGGGCAAAGAATTAATTAAAATAACAACCTGAATTTAAACCTTCTGGTTTGTTTATTTTTAACATTTTTCTTGTAAAAAGTTCTTGGAAATTTTAGATGAAAAATGAACTGTCCCATTTATTTCTGTTTCTCACAAAATGATTATGGTACATAAGAAACATTCAGTGGAAGTCTGAAACATGTATGATGGTATATTTCCATGGTGACAGATAACATTGTCTCAGAAGAGACAACTCTAACTCCTTTTGGGTAGGAGCTACAGTTCTTTATGCTGTAGTTCAGAGAGTATTAGGACATTGATATTGTAACGTGTTTTGCTACTGAAGACGCAGTTCAGATTTTTAATTGGTTTATTTAACAACCTACAAGTCGTAACTACAAATACTTATAACACTGTTGCGGGTTTAGACAATTTACAAACCCCACACAATAATCTCTTCAGTAGTCTTCACGTATTTATAATGCGGGAGCTATACAAGTGTCACTGAATTACACACTCTCAGTACCTTTTCAGTTATCACAAACTATCACTGATTATCACACGTATACTCTTCTTATCACCATTCGGTTCTTCTTCTACCATGGCTGCTAGACTTATAACGTCTTCTTCACATTAACAATTCACTCGCTGCAACTGAACTCGGCAACTTCTAGACTTAAACTGTCTTCAGTGGCTGCTACATTTTAACTCTCTCCTTACGCATTCCAGTCTGCCTTATAAACCCTCAGTCAAACAACGGAAACCCCATATTACTTCACTGTTGCATAAACGCCATGTTTACAGGCGTTGCTGGGGAATGCTGCTGAGAGTTGTTTATTGCTGTGTAGTAAACGCGGTGTCTCCTGTTACATCACTGTGGGAAGTGCTGCTACGTCACCGTGGGGAGGAGGTGTTTACTGAGCATTGTGTAATGATTGAAGAAGTGGGGGTATGTGACGTCACTTGCGAGACCGCAGAATTCACGTGACTCCTACTTCCTGTTGCGCCATCTGCATCACAATATGTTTAATGGAACAGTATGGATTTTGCATCTGAGCCTGAGAAAGTGGATTTTTAAATTCAATTAGACTCAATATGTGTTCATCTGCCTTAGTGGTTCTCTAGTGGCTATAGGCCTAGAAGGCTGTACTTGTAGCTTGTGTTCATATGTGTCTGTTCACCTTGCACAGGTACTACAATATACAGGGGTTGTACAAAATAATGAAAACTTTACAGATACTGTACACATTTCTTTATTAATATGGTGTTGAACCATGAATTTCCTTCAGTACAGCCACTGTTCTTCTTTGAATGTACTCATACCAGTTTCGAACGGTATCTAGAATATTATGCCATTCTTCTTGAAGAACATCTTCAAATTGCTTTAAAGATATTAGGGGTGGGAATCTGTACCTCACTCTAGTCTCAGAAGCTGACCAGAGCGGTTTAATGATGTTCAAATCTGGTACTTACGCTGGCCAGGGAACATGTTGAAGTTTATCTTCATGTTCTTCAAACCATGACTGAACAGTCCCAGCTGTGTGAATTTGGACACTGTCTTGGAATACTGCATCATTGTTCAGAAATAATGTCCGATCATTGGATGCACCTGATTACCCAACCTGTCCACATACTCCCTTGCAGTAATTCGACCATGAAGGGTAATAATGGGACTGACATAATACTGTACCACAGTACTGCTGCCCAAGCCATTACAGAACCTCCCCCATGTTTCACTCTCAGAACAGCATTCCTGGTTGTGGGTTTCCTTATGTGTTCTCCTAATGTAAACTCTTCCTGATGAAAGGAACAGCATGAAGAATGATTCATGTGACATATCATGGATGCCTTTCCTGTTGTCTGATGTCCAGATTTCATGGCCATGACACCATTATTTACGCATCTGAGCATTACTTTCAGTAATCAGAAGTTTAGTAATTGCAGCCCTAAGCTGGATGTTGGGTTTCCGAAGCTCACCTCAGACAGTTTTTGTGGAAACAGGGCCTTCAAGATGAATATTCAGTACTACCGCCACCTGTGCTGCAGTAGTTGTGTGATTTTTCGAAACAGTCCTTCTCAATATATAATGATCTCTTTCTCTCATTGTTGATTTTCACTTACCATTCCTCTCCGCTGATGTTGTCTTCCCACGATTAGTGTATGCTGACATAACCTTAGAAACTGTTATTCTTGATACCCTCATAATGCATCAGTTTTTGTCACAGATGATCCAGCTAAACAAACATCAAGAAACTGACCTCTTTCAAAATCGGACAAGTCTCCCACTTTCCAATTCGTTCACGCGGACTGTCACTCAACACAGTCACAAATAACTGACAGGAGCACTACATAGTGTAAACAAATGGAATAAGAATATTTCAGTGTTGCCAACTGCAGTTATTTCATTGTAGCCGCACAAATTATGTTCCTCAGTTTCTTAGTATTTCCATTATTTTGCCCACGGTCTGTATATCTGGTTACTTAAAACTGAACTTTGCACTGTTTAAAGACAGAAATACAATATGGTTGTCTATTTAAAAACAGTTAATAAAGTTTTGATTAAATTTCATTCATTTACAGATAGCACAGTCCTAAATGACACTTCAAAACCATATGTCTCAGTCTGTAACAGAACATAACATTGCTGCCCATGGCTGTTCAGCAGAGAGGTATGAAATTCTTTGTTTCACAGTAATACATAATTATTATTTAGCTGTTGCTCTAAATTTGTTACAATTATTTAAAATTAAAACGTTTTTATTACTCCTATTAAAATAAAGAGAGAGGAAGTGCTTTAGTTATCAAAAGTAATAGCTGAATGGCACTTAAAATATATCAACAAGCAGCTTATTTTCTTCTGTTTATGAAACATAAAATTTAAAGAATTTGATATTCTATTTACTTTTATGGTCACTTCACTAGTTTAAAAAAACAAGAAATTTAAATCATTGCTCTGGTGTAAAAGTTCATATTGATATACATAACTATTTTACCTTAGAAGCTGCAAGACCAATACATGCTGCAACCCCCAGTGTATTAAACACTGCTGAACCCACCACTGTCCCCACTCCAAGATCTGATTCCGTAATGAAAGTTCCAATGATATTGACAAAAAGTTCTGGTGATGATGTAGCAACTGCCATGAAAGTTGCTCCAGCCACATCCTGTGTAAGGTTCAGCTCTGGAAGTATAATGGAAGGAGTAGTATTTATGCATTAATCTTTACATAAATTTGTCTCATTCTTATAGCAAATGAGTGGAAAATTTTAGGCTTTTTCCGATGGAGTACACATATTTTACACAGGTGTTCTATGCTATTTGACAATGGCGTTGGTGCTAATTTTTTGCAGTTACAATATATAGTATTGTTACAATGTTAAACATACTGAAAAGGTTGTGAATGTATTCTTTTGTAACTGAAGCAAAGAAAAATCCCCCGCCCCATTCAAAAGCAAATCTGTTTTTACAATATTACGTATGACTTCTTCATTTTTGCATACTATTGATTATGCAATTGGGAACCATTTCATCAAAATCATTTAGAAAATTTTTCACTGGTATAATTAACATAATTTCTTCTTGGGCATGAAGACTGCACTTTGTAGAATCAATAATGGACTCTTTCTACAGAAACATTTAAACATTCTATTAATTACAAACAAAGTGCTTAGTAAATCGTGAGACAGGTATGATGTCATTGCCTAAATAATCATTAGTTAATCGCCATGTATTAACTTAAAAAAATTTCTGATATTTACTCTTTCATCCAGTGTCTTCATTCTGAGTTGTATAAGCATTTTAGAATAAGAAATGACTTCCATCAGAATTATATGTACCTTAACAAACGCTGATATCATTCATGTATTTATATTTTCAATTTCTTATTGATTTCAATGTGCTCTTCATTGATAATTGGTGAAACAACACATAATATTCACATGTGAGGGATATCAGAAATTGGGGAGGAGAAAAAAGATGACTGGCATTTCCATCACATATTATTTACCAAAATATAATCCAACATTACCCAAGAAGATTCAACCCACTAAGTTTGAAACACTAGCTGTGTCACTTTTGCCCAATTTTAACTAACCTGTACAGATGCAGTCCACAGATGGCAGAAAATAGTCATTGCAAACTACTGCAATTATTGTGAAACAGTAGAGTGCTAAGAAGAAATGAACGATGATTGCTCCATTTTTCCTCTCTTTGAAATCAAACAAATCATCAGGGAAATCTGAGACAGAACTGTTCATGCAATCTTGCACATGGGACCTGTCATCTACGAGAGAAACATTACAGTTATTTCAATTTAACCACTTTTATACTGAATATATTTTTAAAAATTTATCATCCTCTTACATTTACAGTCTTTGAAAACTAAAAATTAATCATTATAACTATCAGGAGATCATGAAAGAAGTTTCGTTTTTTACGTATAATATTATAATATTATACATCAAAGACAATCAAGTAGAAGAGTTAGGTTTCAAGATTGTCTGTCTTGCTTACAATATGGAAAGGATTTAAAATGTTTCCCATTTATGAGTGGCATAGGGAATGGCATATTTTAGAATTGTGTTGTTTCAAATTGTCTATACCAGCATAAATTGAACCCCATTTCCCATTTGTTGATTCAAATGCCATAGGCATTAACATTAGTAGAACATATTACACGGTGAAATCCCTTTATGTTTGGTGTGCTGAAATGAAATGCTGACCATTTGGGAAAACTTAAGTACTGTTTCAAGAGTTTAGATTATTAAAGATTGTATACATATTAATTCCCATATTTATTTATTTATTTATAAAACTACAATAAACCATTGTGCAACTGCACTGTAAATATAATACATTTACTTCAGACAGTATGTAAGAATGGAAATAAAATTCGCTATAAACAAGAATGAAAACATGAAGTTAAAATACTTCCCATAGCTCAAGCGGTTAGTCGCTGGCGTCACTGGCTTCCCACTGCGGCGGCCCGGGTTCGATCCCGGGTTTGGTCAAGTGGGATTTGTGGTGGACAAAGTGGCGCTGGGGCAGGTTTTCTCCGAGTACTTCGGTTTCTCCTGCCAATCTTCATTCCATCAATTGCTCCACAATCACCCTCACCTATCATCTGGGGCTGGTACAATAGGCCAGAAGTGGCCGCAGTTCAAGGGACTTAGTCCTACCCCACTAGCAATAAAAGAAATAGGGTTTTGCTGGGAAATCCAGAAGGAAGGATGCCACTAGGAAGACGTGGACTCAGGCAAGAGGATAATATTAAAATCGATCTTAAATAAATTGGGTAGTATTATATGGACTGAATGCTTGTGGGTTCAGTGGTAGGCTGTTCTGAACACAGTAATAAACCTCTGGGTTCCGTAAATTTTTTGAAATTTTTGAGTATGTGAGCGACTTGTGTCTTCTGAAAAAGGACTCGACTTTATGGAGTTGGTTGGTTGGTTGGTTGATTGGATACTTAATAATTTATTTGGTTAGACCATATTTTCTTATACAATTAACCATACTAATATTTTACAACTCTTCTAGAATTTTAGAAATCCCATCTACATGAAAAATTATCATTTTATTTAGAAACATCACATTGAAAGTACAGCATTTTTAGAAAATACACGTATATGAAGGAAACCACTGGAAAGGAAAACAATTTAAAATCTAGGAACAGGTGTGAGAATGGACATCTGCTAAAAGAATTAAGAGTTGGTCCCTCTGACATGAATGTGGACATTTATAGCATTATGAAAGAAAACCTGTGCCTGATAACGCAATAATGCTGAAGAATTTTAACCTGTCCTATATGCCGACCGATTCAATTGTTACAATTAAAAGTTAACTTCGAGCAATGGCCTATAATTATAATGTACGCAGTTGGATGCAAAAACTTTGTGGTGGACGCAGTAAGCAACAAGGTTTTCAGTGTGGTCCACGTTATAGAAAGCGCTCACACCTCTTATTTTTTTAAATTTATTACACTAATTTATTCAAAATTAGGGCTGAACCTAAACAGGCCGTGATAGCTGAAGAATAGCATATGGTCAGCTTAGTCTGGGAACAGAAGAACTGACAGACATGCCTAATAATATGTCTGCTGATTGGGTTCCAAAGAAAGAGCTCTTGTTTTCCCGGAACTGTAAGTACTGTCTACTTAAAATATGAAACAGAACAAACAGCCGTAGTCTATATTTACATATTTACTTTGTAAATATACTACCTACAGGTTATTACATGTTGTTTGCATGAAATGCTTAAATTTAACAAATATGAAAAGAGAATATGGTCTTTCATACTTATATCCAAAAATACTAAACGAATTTCGACGAAATTTGGCATTGGGGATCGACAGTTTGATTCATATGAATTCAATCTCTAAGTAAGTACATCCGGATCGGCACTGGATTTCAAGACCATCGTCCAATGAAGAGAATGCAAGGCAACTATCAAGGCTCTTCTATATGTACTGTGAGAGGTAAAAAGTACTGGCATGATATGCAGACGAATATTGTTTTTACCTTTCGTACATTGAAGCTCACCCTGCCTCTAAATGAACAGCAATACTACACACCGCTTTTCTCGCCTTCTCTTCATTAGAGGATAGTAGGTTATCATATGCCGATCACAGTGGCCGCGCTGTCTAAGACATGAACTGCCTTCGCTAGCTCGAACGCTGGAATGGTGGGTTCGAATCCCACTCAAGGTATGGATGTCTGTGTGCTTTTATTTTGTGTTTATGTTGCCCTGTGTAGGTAGCAGTCTTGCGACGGGCTGATCTCCCGTCCAAGGGGTTCTTAAGAAACTGAAAAAGCAGCCAAGGTTCATCAAAAAGCTGTAGAGCCATAGATGGATGGATGGATGGATGAATGGATGGATCGATCGATCGATGGACTGATTCTCATATTCATTAAACACAAAGAGTAAAGCGACAGTGACTCGAGACACGCCGCTCACCCCATCTACTGCCGAATTTAAAAATAATGTGTGAAGTTATTAGTTATCAAGTCACGTCAAGGACTATATTTGTTTTGAAAATATATTTCCTATTTTTCAGCTTCAGTGGTCTTGATATTAATAAATTGCAGACATAAATGGATTGCTGAAAAGCGTATCACAATTGATGCTTCGTTGCACATTCATAAATACTTATATTGTATTTTCTTAATTAAGAAATACGTGTATATCAAAGGAAAGTTAAAAAAGTAGTGGATTTTGTTCAATGTAGGAATGTCTTTTTACGATTACGTTGGTGAATTACACCGATATACATCATCATCATCATCATCATCATCATCATCAGTGATCTGTCAGACGACAGGTCCACAGTCTCTTCCAAAAAAATTCCTCCACTTAATGCGATCTAGAGCTTTCTCCTTGAAATGACATAATCCTCTTCTGTCCCCAAGGTCATCCAGTATCTTCTTACGTCTTCTTCCTCGTCTTCTTGTCACTTCTATCCGCCCCTCTATCTTTCCTTCAATAACTTCTTTTAGAAGGCAGTTTCTGCGTAAAAAATGACCAATCCAATTAGCCTTCCGTTTTCTTATATCGTGTAGGATATTCCTCTGCTCCCTGACTCTAATTAACACTTCTTCATTTCTCACATAATCGGTCCAACTGATCTTCTCCATCCTTCTCCAACACCACATCTCATTAAAATTTGCAACATATATTTGTAGTATCCAGTGATGTTCTTCTTATTTAACGGAGTACACTGGAAGTAATTTATGAATATGCAATGAGATATCGATAGTAACTTGCTTTGCAGCAATGCATTTCTCTCCGCAACAAATTACTTCGAAAACAAACGAGGTTTTAAAAAAAAGCGCCTGTTTGAAGTTCTCCGATTTACTGTGACAACCAATATTTTGGAGTATTGTTCGTACAGCAAGATGGGGGTCCTAACCTGTAATTCATATGGTGGATTAACACATTAGATGACATCACTTCAGGTCACATAACTTCCGTGAGTAGAGTTATACACAACGGTACAAGCGCTAATCATATTTTCCCCGTGTTACATGAATCTCTGAGGAGTTTTTCCTGCTCATTATGGGTCGATCGATAATGTGACATGCTTATCAGTTTTTTAGCTACACAGTTCAAGATTTTAGCAGTTTAAAACTCGTGTATCTCGTCACTGCTGTACATATCGCTGCTGTCAATTTGAAATAGAATATAAGTGATTTAAACGGACTCAGAATGCGATGCAGTTCTGTTCTTCATTTTGAATATAATGCTGGAACTTTGGGTTCACTAAATCAGCGAATGTCTTAATAATTTCATAACTACCAATGTTTCAAGGAAAACTCTATACCGTGGGATTAGTAGAAATGAGACTGTATACTGGGGGCACGCGGTCGTGTAGTTGGTTGAGGAACTATGCTACAAGCCGGAAGGTCGCCGGATCTAATCCCGATTAGGTGGATTTTTGCAATTGACCTGATCCTTCCAGCCGCACTATGGCCCTGGGTTCGACTCAGCCTCTAACAGAAATGAGTTCCAGGAACATTTCTGGGGGTAAAGGGCGGCCGGTGCGTAAGGCTGACAACCTCACCACCATCTGTGAGCCGATTGTCTAGAAAATGTGGGAGCCTCAACATCTCACAATCCTATGGGCGTTCACGGCCTGTTACAGGGATAACTTTACTTTTATTTGCTCTTTACTTTGCGCCTGTATATTAAATAGCTTTTGAAGATATATACCTTCTTTACGCTATACGTCAAGCTACGGTCTTCTTTTATTTAACTGGATTGAAAAGTGCATTACAAATGTTAAGTCAGTTTCAAGATTATCAAAATATTTATACTTTCTTTCCAATTAGTTGTGTCTATTTAATCAGCCGGTAATTAGAATACAACTTGGGTAAATACTTTTAAAAACCACGCCCGATTTCATAGAAATCTGAAATTTAACACGACACTAACATCAATTACTCGTACAACATAGCTAACATGTTGATGTAAATAAACAAATTAACTGATATGTTACACAAATGATAATCTAGACGATATAACCTTGAATGGCGCCAAAGGATGATGTGAGATGAACGATGGAAAACAGATTTATTCATAAAATCTTTTCGAAATCCACTTCCAATACATATGGAAGGTTGTTTTCTTTCTTGAAACCAGAACACTGTTTGAAGAGGTGATGAAACTTGCAGGTGCCAGAGTTGTTCGCGCCAAGTGTAAAGTATAAACAAGACAAATAATGCCGTGCTGATGTGATTAACAGGAACATCAGACATTGAGGCACTCAGCAGAGCCCACAAGCTTCCTTCTGACAGCTGAAATATTGCTATACAAGAGAATTAATTTTTTTAGCCTTTCAGTTTAAGACTGCAGATCAATGACCCAACTAAATATGTTTATGGGCCGCGCTATAGTTCAAGTGGTTAGTCGCTGGTTTTTCCGTGGCGGCCCGGGTTCGATCCCGGGTCTGGTCAAGTGGGATGTGTGGTGGACAAAGTGGCGCTGGGGTAGGTTTTCTCCGAGTACTTCGATTCCCCCTGCCAATCTTCATTCCACCAATTGCCCCACAATCACCCTCACCTATCATCTGGGGCTGGTACAATAGGCCAGAATTGGCCGCAGTACAAGGGACTTAGTCCCAATCCACTAGCAATAAAAAAAATACGAACAGGTTTATAATGTAATGGATCTTTCCATACTTGAAATAGAGCGATTTGTTCTGGATCCAATAAAACCACAAAGACAATTCATTTAACCCCAGACACTGAACTAAATTAGATTTGGGTTAACTGCACGGTTGTCATTCTATACTTTGTTATTCTGTTTATACGAACATAAATGTATTAGACTTAATTTTAACACTACAGCACAGATTTTTATGTGTAAGAGTTCAGAACGAAGGACATGAAAGATAACAATAAGCAGATATTACTAAGATTAGAGGAGCAGGAAATACTGAAAAATGAAATGCTGTGGTAGAATTACAAATATTTAATTCGAAAAATAATAAGTATACGTGGCGGATGGGTACGCATTATCTCTCGTCCTCGAGGAGGCCCAGAGATCGACTTTCCTGGTTTTCTCGAGATTCTCGAGGAATAAACGCGCAAAAGTTCCTTTCCAGTTTCCTTCCAAAGAGTTATTCACTAATCATTCCGCCATTTGACGCTATGCTGTAGCGTAGTTGGTTGAGGTACTACGCTACAGTCCGAAAGGTCGCGGGTCCGATTCCCGTTGAGGTCATGCCATTTTTCAATTGTCTTGATCCTTCCAGCCGCACTATGGCCCTGGGGTCGACTCAGCCTCTAACAGAAATGAGTACCAGGAATTTTCCTGGGTGGTAAAGAGCGGCCGGCGCGTAAGGCTGATAGCCTTACTGCCATCTTTGAATCGACTGTCTGGAAAATGTAGGAACCTCAACGCCTCGCAGTCCTATGGGCTTCCACGGCCTGTTACAGGAATAGCTTTACTTTTTTTGTTACTGACAGCGTTGTAAAATAAACCATAAATAAATAAAGTGGTAAGCTAAATATAAGAAGTTTGTATTAAATTGCTAACAATTGCAAGAGAGAAAGAAGTCATTTTAATTCATCTGAAATGAACTGTTGAGAATGTAACATATTAGGCTTAGTAAATGAAGTTGAGGGAGAAGAAACTTCGAAGAAAAGAAAAGTACAGTGAGCACAGGATATGGATGAAATGCCCCCTGTAATGTGGACACGTATTTAGAATGGGGAGATGTAAATTTTCTAATAACAAATTCACCAAGAATAAAAAAAGAAAGGGAGATATATTACAATGATTGTAAGAAATTTCGAAAGCGAACAAATTAAGGCTTGATTTTAAATAAAGATGCTTTCCATCTGAATAGCTTATATGAAATCGTATGGTTCGTATCCGTGAGAAAATTGAGAATGATAGGTTGGACAGGGTGTGGAAGGAAGCAGTCATTGCGTGATTTGAGATATCCCAGTATTTACCTAGAATTTCGGTTTAGAAAACCGAGATTAACGGCTGTGAAAATCTTTTACAGTGATCACGCGACAACCTCTACCCGCAAAAGTTGGCACTAACTTCGCCGACAAGCGGCGGTTGCTCGGTCGGTATAGTTCGCTTGCGGACTACAGGCTACATATTTTTGTTTTTATGACTGATGCTTGCCCTGCCTAAAAATTTGCGACAGAAACCTACCTTTTAAAATTTCAGCGCTTGCAAAATAAGGTTCTCCGTACCATTGGAAATTTTCAAAAATGCACACCGGTCTGCGATTTGCACACAACTTTCAACCTTCTATATGTATACGTTTATATACCTATATTATGCAGGCAACAAGCAGACGGCATACAAAATCATGAGAATGAACATGTTTGCAGGACAGGACGAGACGAAACCATATATATATAAAATATAAGAGGCTTAAACTTGGCGGCTTTCAAGCTTAAGACCGTTCCAGTGACTAAGCTGTCGTTGTAGTGTAAGACGGGTAATGTAGGCATGGTCTGCTTTCCAAAGCCTGGACTGGCACCGGACTTGTATATAGTGCAGAAGGAAGAATTTTGAATAATATGTTATATGTGCAGTGCAGGCGAAGCCTATGCATAAGAGGCAAACCCATCCTCTCAACAAAGTGCATGTTACATATGAACTATGACAGCAAGGGCCCAGTTTGCAAAAAGAAAATCCCTAGCCGTGATTCTCAAAGGACTTGGCGTCAAGACGAACTGATTTGCGGCAAATCTCCAAAAGTAACTCAGATTCTCTGAGTTAGTTGTCAGTCAGAGGAGATGCACAACTCCCAGGGCCTTGGGAGAGTAAAATATGGTCATAAGTCCCGTGGTACTCGGAACCAAGAATGACTATGCTGTCGAGGACCAGACAGAATGTCATCACGAGTTAGTTATGAGATGGTCGAAGGCCGACAGTGACGTGAGCAGAAGAGACCATTGTTGGGATCAAAAACCAGACAACGACTGGTGAAGGCATAACAAACATAGAAGATTTAGGCTGTTCTATAGTGAGAAGTAGAGTGCGTAAAATAATGAGAGCATTATAATTACTTTTAGTTACGATCAGTAAGTGTTCAATAGATCCAAATGCCAACCCAAACCCCATATGTTGTTATTAACATGTGACAAGATTAAGAACTACTTTATTAGTCTAACAGAACATTGTAGGAGCACCGAAACCATAAATGTTCCCTGACCTTTGGAAATGGATGTATTATGGATAACGACTGAAGCAGAGAAACCTCTGTTACACATTGCTTCCAGAGTTCAGTACGATTAGCAACAATTTGTCGTTAATAAAAGTGAATAATGGACGAATAATTAAAATTTTGTAAAATCAAGCCACTTTCCAAATGACAATAAACTCTGTAAGTTTTGAGGTTTTCACGGCGATTACTATGAAGAAAGTCGTCTTCTGGGATCTGGCGCCGTGTATTCTTTGTTTCAGCCGACATTTCGGAGGAACGTATCGCCTCCATCTTCAGGGCAGGTGAATTGCTTTGCGAATACAGAGAGCAGTAGCTACACGGCGCCAGATCCCAGAAGACGACTTTCTTCGACAATAAACTCTGTTGGTAGGAGGTAATGTGCTATTGCAAGAGGGGTACATTTGGATAAAATATTTTGAGACATTTGAGAATAACGCGTAAATATTAGTATTGTGGAGTGATTAAACCTATAAGATAATTTAAGTAAGACGCACTTGAACACTTCAATTTGAAATAAGTTGTGTCTTAATGCTGGGAGTGTTCCTGTTATTGTTCTTGTTTTGTTGTTGCCCATTTTTACATGGCAGAGTCTTTTTCTAATAGTCTTAAACCATTCCTTATCTGACTCATTGTTGGTTTATTGAACAATGATTTCTCAATGTCGAATGGTAGGATGATTTCTGAACGTTGGATTGGAAAGCTTTGAAAATAAGTGATCATTCCCTACTTTGAATGATTATTCCGATATTTTCATAGGGAGCAGAGGAGTTTTGTGAGAAACCTGTCAAGACAGCTAGTATCCGTGTGAGATTATAGTCGAGACCCGCCGAATGCTAACCGTGACTTTCCCTGTGCTCTATCTGCATGGGGGTACAGCAACAGAAGTGTCCCCAAATTTTAGAACATTATGGAAACTGTTGAATGGAATCATGGATGTCCTAATCAAGATTAGAAACGCTGCTTTAGAAGTCATTCGAAGACCATTCTGCAGTTGGACTTGGCTCGAGTACTCACACAAACCCTGGACAACCATCGTATGATATGACAAAATACAGACGACATGCAGGAACTGTTTCGCCACACTATCAGAAAGCCTAGAATTTCCATTAAAATCTGGGCACATTTTCTCCGAGATAAAGACCTGATACCATGGAATACGAGCCATTCTTTGACACCAAATTTTCCTTTCTCGTGAGTTTGTATTTTTGATGAAGGAGATGAAAATATACAAAACCCGAAATGCATACAAGCCACTTTTTTGTTTCATGAAAATCATTAATTTCTCGCAGAACAGATGGAGTGACATTTACATGCGTGTCGGTAATTGCAACAAAATTTGATAGAAATAGACTAATATGAAGTGTCCTATGTTTAATAATAGTTATTAGAGAACAAGTAATGTAAGATTACTCATGGATTTACTTATCAGTTGAAATTTCCACAGGAGCTAGGGAAATATTCTGACTCCTCTGTGATAGAAACGGTTAGTAGAAGACCGAGGAAAGAAATTCCTTATATCACAGGTTCTTAATTTTTTTTCTCCCAACGCGGAACTTGCATTCACCCCACTAAGAATATCTGCTATTAAAATTTGGCATAGCAATATGATTAAATATGACAAAAATACCATATAGCAACACATTGTCACAAATTATATATATTTATATTCTGGAAATTTCTCGTTTTGTTATCGTTCCAGATGGAGACCTCACACTTTCATCACTTGAACCCATCTTTAGCACCTGTAATTTAGAACCCCTGCCTTATACTAATAACTTAAAGGAGAACTAAATTTTAAGCTTACCTTCAGCGGTTGTATTATTCGTACATTTCACTGACACAAATTGTACAGTCAAAATTATGGACACAACTATTATAATCAACCTCAGTTCTGTCATTCTTGTTGGCATCAGGACACTGTATGCTGTTTCTGAACTTACAATTCTGTCAAACTGTTTATGGAACTGAACTGACTGTCACTATTTTAGAAAATTAAAACATTCACAAAAAAAAAAACTCAGACTTAAAAAGTGACGTATCCTAAATGAATAAATTAGTATCACACTTACGAAGAAGTAACAAAACTGTTTCACGTAGTAGTTACGATTTCTTGCTTTAGAGCTCGTTCCTTTAACTTTAATGATAGTTATATTTGCTGCGTTCAACTTCTCTAAACGTACTTTGCCACTACATACTCTGACTGGAAGAAATAATTATTTATATACACAAGCAGGTTATCGTGGCAACTGGTATAGGCAGCCTAGCAAGAGGAAAGGCCTTCAGGGATCCTATTCGGCCTGATGCTACATGAGAACTACTCACACGTGCTATCAGAAAATCGAAGTAAATACAGTCAGCCCTTATCTAAAACTTACACATCAGCTGATATTTTAAGTACTTTATGGAGTAATCGTGTATTGCTTACAATATATATATATAAACAACATGTAATTTAAATAATAGAGCGCAGGCAGTCTATCTAACCGTTCAACATAAACCAGTAGTAATTACAAAACCAAACAATTAAAATTGTTGGTGTGACAACTCGTAATTCAACTTCAATGTCAAACCCGTTTAGTGTCTTCACTTTTGGAAGGGATGAAAGGAAGACACGGTAACTGGGGGAAGATGTAGGGTTTTCTTATACCAACCACTATATATATATATTTTTTTTTTCTGTTTATCAGACAAGAGTGAGTACTTATTAAGCTCTGACTCTCAGTCTCCAATATCGTCATTGCTAATAAGTGAAGCATTTGATATGTAAATTCATTATAATTAGTCTAGCAAACTTGGCCTCATTCTTAAATAAACATTACTCGAAACTGTAAGCCCACATTAAATTGTAATATAATATCAGTCTGTGCTCCCTGTTTTGGACGATCCTTTAATAAAATGATTACAAGAGGAAACGATTGACAATGTACAGTATTTTGGACGCGAATTTCGAATTATCATGAATTACGTGTCAATGTAAATTGTACAGAACTTAAGCATTAAACTAAACTCCGATGTTTCATTATTAAATTTATCCTCAAACAGAAATAAAGAAATGAAATTTAACAGCTAAATTAATGTACCACCCTTGCGTGGGCTTGATAAAAAATTAAGTTTTAAAAATATGAGAAGACTTATTTATTTCGCCGATCTCTACAAATAGCGAAAGACCCTTGCAAGCTTCTTAATAAAATGTCTCATGCAGACCATGTCAAAGTTTAATCCAAAAATAGTTGCTCTACTCGGGGACTAAACTCAAAATTTCCATTTGTTACTGTGGGCATTTCCTTAGAAAGTAACAATTTAAGTTCATATATCTTCACATTCTTTTCTAATTACCTCGGCTTACGCTTCCCAATACCATATCTGCACCTAACCGCTCTCTCTTTCTTGTATTTCTTCACAAAGTATCGTATTCCCATCACAAAGGGAGCTGTTTATAAATCTCTCCCTTCCTCTTTCAAACTCCTGCCTTATATCTTCCTACCATTTATACACAGTAAAAAATGTATGTTCGGGGCACGCGCTAGCGTAATTGGTTGAGGTAGTATGCTAAAAGTCGGAAGATCGCGGGTTCGAGTCCCGATGAGGTGGATTTTTTTTTTTCAATTTACCTGATCCTTCCACTCCCTAGGGTCGACTCAGCCTCTAGCAGAAATGAGTACCAGGAATCTTCATGGGGGGTTAAGGGCGGCCGGCGCGTAAAGCTGACAAATTTACCGCCATCTATGAGCCGATTGTCTAGAAAAATAATGAAGGAACCTCGACGTCTCACAAACCTACGGGCCTTCGCGGCTTGTTAAAGGGATAGCTTCTTCTTAAAAAATTCTATGTTAATTATTACCATTCTCTTTACCTTTTTCTCAGTCTCCTTCTCTCTCTTCTTAACGTCTGCCCTCTGTCATACAAAGGTCAGCACTTCTACTACACCTGACGTTGACGATCCTCATATATTCCCTTGCATCACATGTGGATAATCAGTCACTCTTGCTATAGCTTCGAAATTAGTGTGATCTTACAATTCTGGTCTCCTACCTTCTTACTATTTAAATTTTTAAAATTTAGAGCTAAATTATGTTTAGCTTCCCGCGTTCCTCGTTAATTACCTTTCAGTCACTTCTTCTACAGAAGTCGTAGAAAGGACTGCCATCTGCCCCTCAGTTGTCACGATCTTCATCCGAATTCTTTGCAAAACAAGTTCTCCACACCCAGAAATAAATCCTCTAAAATTCTAACATTTTATCAGTATTTGTAATAATTTTAAAATCATTCCCCAGCTCTGCACAGAACGGAGGATTCTCATAATTTAATCATCTCGGTAGATAACAACAAACCTCAATGCCTGCCTTACCCTCTTTCCTTTACTNTAATTGTCTTGGAATATTATTTCAGGAGTAGAAATTATTCCGAAATTTGGCAACGTAGTCGCGGAGAAACGTTCCATCCGCTCTACGCTGCTGCCCCGGTTTCCTCGATCTTTGAACACCCTGTATTACTAATTATGAATATATATTTTTTTAAATGAAGTGTGATTTCGAATATTTCGAATATAAGCCGCACCCCAGTTTTCCTCTTGAATTTTTGGCAAAAAATGTGAGGCCTATACATGCGTAAATACGGTATTATCATTCCAAACTGCACACACCTTGCTCCCGCGAAACCGACAGACACATGTAGGATTGCATTTCGCACTCTTTGTTTTATTAGTTTTTCAAATTCTGCAAGAAATTGAATGCAACAAAAGCACGGTCCAATAATAAGCGACCTCTAATGCAACTTCTGATTTAATAAAATTATTGAGCTTGTAAATAAATAGTACGGTAAAGATTTCAAAACGCAAACTTTGCATGAGCACGATGTCAATATTACTGAAGGTAAAGGTAAAGAAAGGTAAAACTATCCCTGTAACAGGCCATGGAGGCCCATAGGGTTGTGAGACGTCGAGGCTCCCCACATTTTCCAGACAACCGACTGACAGATAGTAGAGAGGTTGTCAGACTTAAGCGCCGGCCGTCCTTTACCCCAGGAAGATCCCTGGTACTCATTTCTGTTGGAGGCTCAGTAGAGCCGTACTTCGGTTTCCCCTGCCAATCTTCATTCCTCCAGATTCTCCACCATCATAATCACCAGGGGCAGGCTACAATAGGCCAATCAGTGACCGCCGTGCCGAGTGGACTCAGTTGGACTCCACTCCCCACTAAGAACCTAGGGCCATAGTGCGGCTGGAAGGATTAGACCAATAGAAAAATCCAGTGACCACATCGGGAATCAAACCCGCGACCTTCCGGTTTGTAGCATAGTGCCTCAAGCCTCCCCCTTATTACTGAAGGTAGAGAAAGAAATTAGGAAGATGGGGGTGGGCTACAGCGGAACGATCTTCATGTTATGTTTAAGTTGAGCTCTCCATTTTCCTCAACACTCATTAGAGGCAAATGTTACGGATGAATCATGATAACACAAACCTATCTTTTCTTAAAAATTAGTAAAGTAGGCTAAAGCACTTATCGATTTAGAGCCCGATAATTCTTTTGAGATAATACCTCAGACTTTATAAAGAGAAATACGTATATTACACGTGTCCATTAACTTTCACCGGTTCTCTTTCTTTTATCTATTTATTTTATAGCAACATTGACAGTATCGAGATTGAGCGCCTTCGGCGATAGGGCGATTCATGAATGTACGTGTAGAACAGTGGGCGGAATGAGAATAGGAATCAGAATTGGCATGAGAAAACCAAAGTACGCGGTGAAAACCTGCCCCAGTGCCATTTTGTTCACCACAAATCCCACGTGACCTGGCCTAGTGTCAAACCAGCACCGTAGCGGTGGAAATCCGACGACAAACCACCTAGACTATGGACGTTCCGTTGATTCTCATCAGGTTGAGCACTCTTAGGTTGACTGGTATGCCGTGGTCTAGTGGTCAAAGTCCCTGGCTACAGATCCAGAGGTCCCGAGTTCGATCCCGGCGCTACTAGATTTTCTGAGAAGTAGTGGGTCTGGAACGGGGTCCACTTAGCCTCGTGAGGATAACTGAAGAGCTGCATGAATGAAAAAATAGCGGCTCCTGTCTAGAAAATCGAAATTAACGGCCGTGGGGATCCGTTGCGCTGACCAAGCGACACCCTCTATCCGCTAAAGTTTGCACTAACTTCGCTGACAAACGGCGGTCACTCGGTCGGTATAGTTCACTTGCGGACTAAAGCCACGGATTTTTGTTTTTTATTTATGTCGTTAAAGACGACATGAAAATCAATACTTTACTTTCAGCGGTGGAAATGCGACAACTTAAGAGATATGTCTGTCATCAGCGCCATATAATAACTAACATGTGTAAGATATGCAGGAGGATGCATTCGTTTTAATAATATTAAATTAATGTAAATACACTTACTTTATGATATACATATTATGAAAATTGCCATGGAAGCCGTAAACATATTAATGTATGTCAAAATGACAATTAAATTTAATAGTTCTTAAACATTTAGAGTTAAAAAAATAAAGTGCCAAAAAAGCGTGTATGAAAACTGCAGATCTACACGTCAATGTTTTCGAGGCGTTTGTTTCTGTGTTAAAATCCTGCACAATAGTTCAAGTTGCACTTTCAGTCTCTTGTATGGAAAGGCAGATCCGAGAGAGCTCAGTCGGTATAGCGATGGGTCGCAGGCTGGAGAGCTGGGTTTCGATTCCCGGCAAAGGTAAGTTGCTTGCTTTGCTTTGCTTGACTTGCTTTTTTTTTCCCTCTTGCTTCCACTGTGGAGCATAGGGCTGATTTCTCAGATTCACGATCATTTCTACAGACCGTAGGACTCCTTGGACGGGTGATCAGCTTGTCGCAAGGCCTCAAACTAAACACAGGACAACACAAACACGGAAAATACCCACACACACACACACACACACACACACACCAAACATCCATGCCTTGTGAGGAATTCGAACCCACGATTCCGTCTTCCGAGCGAGCGAAGGCTGTACGTGTCTTAGACCGCTTTGCTACCGTGACCGGCAAGGGTAAGTAATTGTCCTTTATTCCGCAACGTCCGCATCAGCTCTGAGGTTCACCAACTCCCTATACAATAGTAGCGGGAACTCTTTCCCCAAAGGTAAAGAGGTCGAGGCGTGGAGGTGACCGCTCACCTCCGTTTAGTGCCTAGGTCAAGAATGGTGAGCTATACCTCCACTCCCTAATACGTCTTCATGGCATAGTGCATAATTAATTAAGCACAGGGACAACTTTACTTTTTACAAGGAAAGGATAAGTCCTACAAGGTGTTCGCTTTTATTTCACGGTGAAATATTTTCACTGTTTTGTAGATAATTTAGTCATTAAATATGCTTACATCTATCAATATAGTGAAACCTGAAAGCTCTTTTTTTATATTTCTGTCTTAATTAATTTATGATGATTGGATTAATTAAAATCCATATATTTCTACACTCTAAAACAATCAATAATTAGGGACCTGCTTCAGGTGGCATTACTTGCTCTTTCTCCTCTTTTGAGTTTTTCAAATTATCTCCGTGACATTCATAGTAAACATTGCAAGAGGCGTCATATCAATCCAAGCATGGAATTTCATGTAATTTGGTCAATCCA